AAAACCGCCAAACTCACTGGTTTGACTGGAATCCTGCTGCTGCAGAATTTTAACGTGTTTTTAGATGGGGTTATGATCGAGAATAAGCTTTATGTGGCCCCTCTGGACTCCCGTATATTTGCACTAAGTTTAGTCGGGCACCATTTGCAGTCATCAGTCGACATTTTGAAGCAAAAAAGTCAGGTTTTTTGGCCTAAAGGATTGATTTTTCTGATGATCATGTGCTGCAAGGATAATGGGTTTGGGCGAAATTCAAAATATTTCCAAACCCTTTTATATAATAATATATTTTTGACTAAAAATCAGTTACGGGACAAAATTAAAGGCCACAATGTGAAGGAAACCGTATTTTTTTTTAATGAAACCAACCACGTTATTACAACTGCAACCAATCACATTTGCAGTTTGTTTAAAGCGCACGTCAATGTGATTTTGTTAAAGCAATGATCTTTGAAAATGAACCTTTGTGTCCCATTTAACCCTATATTCAATTTTCCTTTTGCCATTTTTTAAGGATATTTTGGTGCCTTTTTTGGTTTTTATGTTAATGCATATTTCCATATTCATGAGCAAAAGTTTGATGTCATTTCAGGCAGACACCTCAATGTAGCTTTGCAGCACCAAACGTTGCCAGAATTTAGGATATTTCGCTCTCGTAAATGTTCTTTTCTTTGGCGACTCGTTATTGTGTCAGAGTCTGTCAGTCCATGGCAGTAAGCTAATGAGCAAACATTTCTCACAGATATTTTCAAATAAGCAAATTTTGGGGTTCACAATTGGGAGAAAACCCCTTAACTGAACAGTGTCTTCCTGAAATGACATCACAGCAACAGCGCCCTCACCTGTCCGGAAAAGCATGGCATGTTTAAAAAAAATGGTTAAAGAAGTGCACTATTCAATCAAATTAACCGAAAAGGGATGTCAAATAGTTTTCACACATTTAAGAGTAGAAAAATACACAAAATATGTTCCTAAAGAAAATGACTTCTTTACCCTTTAAAACAATCAATTGGACTTCACTTTTCCGCCACATCATATCAAGCTACGAGTATCGCAAGTTAAAGCAAAAACACTTTCTTGACTTAATATTCTACTTAACGAACAAACTACCTACAGAACATCTAGTCAAGTTCTGTCTTTACAACATACAGCACTGGCTCATAAATAGGACATGAACCCCAGGATCTGGTGTTCAATGTTGCTTGCTTGACATTTAAAGAAATGTCAAACGGATCTCGCCTAAATCCGCGCAAATCGCCGGGCTATCTAATTATTTTATAGGCCTACACATTAATTCCCAAGTGAGTAGATTTAAGTCTGTGTACCTGAACGTGTCTCCTAAAAACGTCTTAACATCAGAAAAAAAGAAAGAAACCAATCAAACCTGGCTTCTTAAATCATACCGCCAGGAACAGATGGCCCTCTTTTACAGAGAGAAAATATCGTTGAGGTGTCGACGTCCTTTCTGGAAACACAGAATTAAATTGCATTAAAAGACGTCATTCTACAGGTATTGCGAATGAATGATTCATTTCAGTCAGGCCCTGTCATTTTAAATAATGGGTACGAATATTTCACGACGCTGCACTTCATTTAAACAAAAACAATTTCGCCGAATCTGTGTAAAGTCTCGCTGCCTATCGGCTTCACTGTTTGGTTAAACAACTCAAGTAACCGTGGCCTTGTCAAAAAGCTGAAACAAGCCAAGCATGTAAACACATTTTCGGTGAACTATGGATAAAAATTTGTGGGGTACCTCTCGGTACGGGACACATAACGGGACACATAACGGGACACACACTCTCGTTTTAGTATACTCTTGAGAACAATGCTTTGAGTTTCCTTTGTCCCTGTAATATAACACTCTCCGATAGACTAATAAGCACACAAACTTACGAGAGGACTGTTTCCACTTTCCAACAAAGGACCCAACTCCCGAGGACTGAAAGGATCTGGTTTTTTTCGTTTGTGTGACGGTCCTCGGGGTTATGTAGATCACGTACACAGGGGGAAAAATACCCGTCTCGCAAAACGAGGACGCAATTTGGAGTTATACGTCAACGTAAGGACCCTTATAAACTAACTCACAAAACACATAATTCAACTTCAACAGTTTCAGGAAGTTTCTTTTATTCATTGCCATTTTTTCTTCTCCATTAACCCTGGATTTCTTCACGGCGAATATTATATACATTACATCGAGGACATGACTACACATTGTTATTCTATTACACAGGTTTATTTTTTTGTACAATACAGCAACGGAAAATCGGGATTCTCTGTGTCTCTCTATCGCGTGTATTCTATAATACATGCACTGTAAGGTGATGACGTCATATATGTTTTTCAAAATTACTGAGGGGGTTTCTAAATCTCGGTTCGTCTTCAGCTTCGGTTCAGGATATGTTTTGGCCCCTGATTCTTGAGGACTCCGGCTCAATGTAAGTTCATGTTCTACGTTGTGAACATCACGTTATAACACGAGACCAGAGTTTAGAGTATACAAAATGTACTTCAATTTGGATTGGACAGTGAAGGCTTCTAAATGCTTCTGATACCAATGCTGAAGGCGATGCTGTAGATGAGACCAAAGTTTGAAAAACCTCTCTTGCTTGGGATTAGGGGACACACACACACACATCGGGCCTGGAGGGTCTTTCCCCCCACGCAGTTTCGACGACAATATAACGGGGACAAAATTCGAGATAAGAAAAAAGATTACAAGCGATTACTGTACAGCATGATTCAAGCTTCGGCATCTGCCTTTATAATAAGTTAGGATGCAGGCTTTTGGACAACATTTGCAACTGAAACAAGAATTTCCCAATTAAGGGCAAAGATTTTGGACAGGTGATGATTGACATGTAGCTTATAAAGTTATTTCTGGCTTCGCTCCCTGCGTGTTTGTCTGTCATCCGTTCCAAATACCGCAAAACATTTGCGTGTATACACAGCCCCCGGCGCGAACTGGTTAACTTGCAGTTAACCTACCGTCCCGCACTTCGGGAAAAAAAATTATCACTGAAATAAGGATTACCCAACTGCACATTAGGCCAAAAAAAAAAGTCTCCGGTTTCTGGTATGCGCGCGCGTCGCCGTAGCCATGCGCGTCGGCAAAATGAACAAGTTTTTTTTTCAATGAAAGATGATGTCTCAAAACCGCCAAACTCACTGGTTTGATTGGAATTCTGCTGCTGTGCAATTTCAACGTGTTTTTGGATGGGGTTATGATCGAGAATAAGCTTTATGTGGCCTCTCTGGACTCCCATATATTTGCACTAAGTTTAGTCAGGCACCATTTGCAGTCCTCAGCCGACATTTGAAGCAAAAAAGTCGGGTAAAAAAAAAAAAAAAAAGCCGCGTCGCCGCACCACTTTTTGGACAAGCTCCATACCAGAAACCGGAGACTTTTTTTTTTTGGCCTTATTATTAACTTTTTACTTCTTGGAATCTTCCCAAGACCTCCGAAGATCTCCACTGTGCAGAAAATCAAAGACACATTCTTTTTACTCGAGTAAAAGACAGCAATTCCTCAGTTGAAATGATTCCAGTATTGTGAGAACTTTCAACCCAAGAACGGTATGTGAAATTCCGCTTCTAACCGATTCGCTCCTAAAAGGCCAACTTTCGTCAATAACACTGACTTCCATATTGGGGTTCAATCATTAAAAGAAACAAAAGATGCCTGATATATTGAAAGACAAAAGCAGTAAAATAAAAGCAATAAAAAAAGAACAAAAACACTGCGCCAAACTGCGCTATAACGATACACTATACATATTTATAAAACATCAACGGTCTAGAAGTATACCAAGTTACACTAAACACGAGTGTGGTTCTGTTTTTGTTGCATATGGGGGAACAAAAACAGCTCCAATTTTATAGCATGTCCTGTTGTAACTGGAAGAGTAACAACGTTCTGTTATTCTTTAAAAACAGAAGTGTTTAAACATTTTAATATATACATTAAAAAATGTAATAAAAAAAACCAGAAGAATGAAACAGAAAGGCTTTGATTCTTAAAATACAGAATAAAATTAGATGAAAAACAAATTGCAGCACCCTTGTTTGTGAACTTCTTGTTTTACATTCGCCACCAACCCTATCATCTTGAACATAACCAAGTTCATCTGGACTTTTTAAGTTCCTTTTTTGTGGCAAACATGTTGGTCTTGTACCCAACAGACACAGTGGTAAATGTTAGGATGTATGGCACCAGTCTTCTAGGTGTCAGACTTGCGTGGCCTCAGCCTCATTGTAAGTTAATGTGAAATTTAGGAGTGATTTTATTAAACTAAAAACAACAATCAAATTAAGTTTAAATAATATAAATTTGGCAGCCATTTTGGCACTTGGTTCCCTAGCAACCATTTCTCTTAACCCCCCTGGAGCCATCTTTGTTTTATTCTGTAAATATTACAAAATATGACAAAGCCAAGAGTGTGCGAAAATGCGGGCTGGTTCATAAAATGTGTTTCTGCACTTTGTGAATGACATGTCCTCGGGGTACAAGACAATGGCGCTTCTGCCTGTTATAACAATAGTTATAACAATATACATGTATAAGGGAGTACCCTATCCCCCTATTCCTCATTTCGACGGAGCAGGTTAACGCAAACATACGCAGTCTATAGCCAATTTCGTGGAATTCCAAGACCAAACCACCTTGCAGCTGAATACCAGCCACAAGCAGTTTGCATTACTTGTCCTTTTTGGCTGGTGACCCGTTTTGCCCAGCAAACGTGTGTACATTCAGCAGCATCATAAATCAGCTCTTGGCATAATATACTGGCTCACCACACACCTCTGCGATTGTGAGACAAACTACATGTACATGGCTGCTTTCGAGTGAGTCCGAGCACACAGACAGCAAGAGAATGACCCGTAGGTACGGGAGGGTTTACTCTCGGTCGGAGCGGGAGTACACTCCTGCAACCGGTGAAATCAGGTGATTTCAAGATGGCGGAAGGGTGAACATGATGTACAGTTGTTGTTTTTTCCTGATGAATTCTTGTTAAATTATTACGATAAATAACAAAAAATCTGAAACAGTATTCACATTTGTCCGAATTACAACTATGTTCTTTCACGAAGAATTAGTTTCCGCCATTCGTCAGCCATTTTGTGCATGTTTAAAAACATTAACCTTTTTGAGCAACGTGACCACGAGTGCAGTGCCCACGCAACATTTTCCTAGTCTCTCGAGTATCAAGAATGACCCACATGAACGCAGCAAAACTGACTGACCATAACTCCCTTGGCTATTTTTTTTCAATAGGATTCTTCCTGAATCCTACAAAATCCACGATTATGTGGGAAACCACTGGCACATTCTCTGTACACGTAAAAATGTACTTGAAACTTGCAAGAGACATCAACCCTCACATAATGCCATAGTGGCTGGGCTTTACCTTCCTCCACCCTGTAAAATCTTTCAAACCCTCTGATGGCTCTTGAAGGATCTGGTATGGGAGGGTTAGAGTCGGACATGGGAGAAGAGAGGGGTGGGGCTTGACAGAGAAAAAAGGGGAGGTTCCTACTACCAATTGCCGAGACCTGCTCGCAGTGTCAGGAAGTACACTTGAGAATTGGAGGGCCGAATCGAGGCAAAGAACACCTGTTGGGGAAAAAAAAAGGATGAATCAAATGCTGGCTTTATTGGATATTCGCACATGAAGAGGCGTCAGTGAAAAAAAAAGGTGACACTTGCATTTGAAAAGACAATCCAAGATGGTTTAAAGGGGGTAGGGGGTCGGTTAGGAGGTGGGAAGCCCCCCGTTATCGTTTCCTATCATAGGGGGGAGGGGGAGGGGGCGGATGGGGTAGGGGTGGCAGTAGGGGGTCGGTAAGGAAGTCGGGAGCCCTACCTTGTCATTGCGTTCACACAGGAACCTCAGCTGTTGGCTGCGTTTGTGCATGAAAACACCATCCAAGTGGCCGGTCTCTGCTGAGCGTATCTCAATGGCTTTGTTGCCCCAGCCCATGATCTGGCCCGTACTGATGTAAGCTGGCCAACGAACAAGAGAAAAGACAAGGTGTGTAACGTAACAATCAAGCTTGTATTTATTAATATCATTCAAGCTGACAAGGGGGTTCTCAATGTCTTGTTGTTTATGAGGGTTAGTGCTGCAGCCGAACCGCCGAACCGAACTTGGCCTTCCGAACCGCACTCAAACCGAACCCAAATGCACGTGTGGGAATATTTTATCATAGTTGCCGGGCCGGATAGGGCTGCGATAGGTAACACGGTAGCAATTAACGATGTTCATTTCTCAACGTCATCAAGTCAAATTATAACAGTATTTTGTTTACACAACAAAAATAAGATTCATCCTTCAACTTGTGTTGAATAGCATGTGGAAATTGTGGTGCCTATTTCTGTCAGACGTGCGCGGTACACACGTGTTTGTTCGAACAGGGGAACGGCTTTTCATTGTAGCCCAATACATTGTACCATGGACAAATGGACATGTACATTATGTATGCACTTCCGAAGCCGAACCGAACCGAACCGAAGTTCGGAGAAGAAAATAGAACAGCAACTGAACCGAACCGAACTTTGCAGCAGCACTAATGAGGGTCATCAGTTGTTTTCCTCAAGACGAGATTAAGATAAAGGATATTTTAAATCTTGGCTGTCTGAGTGTACTTTACAGTTGACGGTACCAGAATCAAACACAAGGTATCCAGTCTCTATTCAAGTCAAAAGTTATTCATTCAAATGAACTGTGACAAAAGCATTCTTTTGTCATTGTTTATCCCCTAAACTTGTGACGACTTGTTTATTTATGTATCAGATCCACTTCCAAAGTTTAAAAGAATGGGATCTGGTCATAATTTTCTCGAAATAGTTAGTGAACACAAATGCGGTGTAGGTTGTGGATCACAGCTTCTGCAATGAGCTGTCATAACAGAGCTGTAGAAATTGTTCAGTAATGGCAATTCATAAAATCTCTTTTCCGCGCAGGACACACTTTGATAACTGCAAGTTGAGAAATTAAAATAGTTTTGAGGTTGGAAGAGTGGAGTATCATCTAAAATTAGAACATTATCAAAAACAGTAGTGACAGACACCTCTAATCAAATCCCAAATGAGTGCTTAAACAAACAATGATTTGCCCCGACTTACCCACGGAAGTCGGCAGCTCTCCCCATTGCAGAGTCACGTCCTTGACTGCGGCACCGTTCGTATCGACAAACACTCCCTCATCTGTAAAAACATCACACAAGCATTCAAATCACATCTTTATATTTCCCACGGATACTTATGTCCCCACTCCATCAAAAGGAGGAATAAGAGGTTTAACTCATGTTTTGAATTGTGTATTAAAGGAAAAACACAACATTTGCAAACATCAAAAAATAAAACTACCAAATCATTTTGAAATACCTTGCTGGACTATTAGTGAATGACAGTGTAAAGCATCCTGTAAAATCATGGCACCTGGTATACTGCCATTTTCAAGAAAAGTGGTACTTTTGTATCAATTTCCAACACTGGTCGGCCGACCAGCGTTGGAAAAAACTGGCTTTTTTTCAAATACTGGCCCCAATTGACCATCGCACTTGTTTGCAATCGATTACACACCTATGGACGGGTACAAGCCAGCTAGACTGGTTCCCTGACCTTACAATTCCCCAATGTATGTAAACTGCTCTGTTTCTTCTTATATGGAGTCAGGGAACCAGACTACAGGAAAATGATTGTTTTTCTTGCTTTTTATAGCATTTTCGAACCCAAAACCTCAAAAAAGTCAGTGTAACTATGTTTGCTATATATTTCCAACCCCCCAATTCCATCCATTTCTGAAAATTACAGCAAAAGCAAATGATGTATATTCCCTTTAATACTAATACATTGATTTTCCGTTTTGCTTGTTATTATTCTTTTTTTTTTCAATTGTGGAAAAACTGAAAGTAGCGCTTGTCTTCCAAGTAACTATCCCCCAATTTGATAGAGCAAATTGCATTATTTTTATCATGAACTATTCTGCACAATTTCGTTTACATTTAAATCAATGTGTGCAAATTCGTTATCGATACGGATTTCTTATACATGTCCATGTAAGTACTGGCAATGTGAAAAGCATCGGTAAAAGTTAAAAAAAAGGATACAAATAATGAAAGCGACTTACTGTTGAAACATAGCAAGAGGTTCTTTCCTTGGTTGTTGGGCAAGATCACTATACAGTGGGGGATGATGGTTCCAATATCCTGGAGGGGGAAACACAAACCAACAATAAATATAAACTGAGAATAAAGCTAAAATTCTGTTCGAAATCGAGATTTTAATGATGCTGAATTGTGCGGGAGAGAGTTTACTCCTTTGCAAATGGTCATTCCATAAATTTGAGGTCCACTTTTTTTCCTGTTCCTGTTCCTTTGCAAATGGTCATTCCATAAATGTGAGGTCCACTTTTTTTCCTGTTCCTGTTCCTTTGCAAATGGTCATTCCATAAATTTGAGGTCCACTTTTTTTCCTGTTCCTGTTCCTTTGCAAATGGTCATTCCATAAATTTGAGGTCCACTTTTTTTCCTGTTCCTGTTCCAAGTGACATGTACGGAAAGAGAAGAGAAAAGCTATGCATATTTCTGCATGTTAGCAATGATAGAGTCAGACTTTTCTGTTTTGTTTTTATACTGCCAGAAATGAGTTCCAGAGGGCGCTAACACACAGGGAACCACCACTTACTAATGACGGGATGTGAATGTCCTGCACGGAGGCCGAGTCCAGGTCGATGGCATGGAAGCCAGCTGATGACCCGTAGATGACCTTTAACCTCTGGTTGTCCTCCACGGTCAGGTCCACGATCTGGGGCCGGTGGGTCAGGTTGGGAAACGTCTGGCAGGAGAAGACAGGGTACAAGACTTTGTGTAAGAGTGCCCTCAACTAGTATGCAATGCGCGAATATTACAATACATATTTGTTTGTCTACATGAGTTTTAAGTTAAAGGTAGAGCAGATCATTTGCAGTGATCCAAAGACAGTAACTGACAAAATTATTGTTGAAAAAGTTACTCGGTTTAAAGATAGTAATGGCACTAAACTCCCTGTGAAATAATTCTTTCTGGCATGCTCTCATTTGGAAGAAAACAATAAATCAACGCCATTTCTAAAGATGCGTTGAGTGACGCATTTTTGGAAATTTCTGTTAGTAGTTAAGAAATAATTTGGTAAATCCATCATAAGTATTCAATAAAATGGGGGGGGGGGGGGGGGGAGGGATGAACCCGTACCTTGAAAGCCATGAATTTGTGGTAGGGCTTGGGTGCCCATGCGTAGATCTCAATGCTCTCCTTCAGAGCGATCACCAGGAATTTGATCTTCTCGTACTTGACCACCTTGTAGTGAATACAACCCTCCAGATCGCCCACCGAGACAAAACCAATCTTACGCTTGTCCATCGTCTGCTGCTGTAGAATAAAGGTACATACAAGAATTTTAAACCATGTTCACACTTTTTTGGGTTGGTAAAACTCACCAAGACGGTGGTTACTTTTGCCATTTTAAGCCCAGTGCAAACAGCCCGAACAGTTTTCTCTCAATTTCTTTTCCCCATTTGTTGCTACTTTCACTGACCAAAATTTTGCTCAGGTAACATTGACTCGGTTAATTTTTCCAAGATGACAAATCCAGTGAAGACAGTGTGAGTCATAGAATCCAGCATCCAAACCACAGAACTACACGTAGTGACCACTAATAGCCCTTCTTCAATCCCAAAAAACAACAGAAAAGTGAAAATCGGAATTCAAAATAACACAACAGGCAAATGTTTGCATTCCACTTACGACATTGCTCCTGACCAAAATTTGACGAACATAATTTTTCAATGTATAGACTTGTCCAGTCTATATACCAGGCCAAAACCCTACAAGAAGAAAACCGAAAGTATGGCTGACAGATGATTTGCAAGATTTTCTGACTTACTGACTGGATGTGACTGTTGTCCTCGTTCTTTACGATCTTCTGTTTCAGCCATGACAAGAAATATGCACGTAGCTTAGCCTTCTTCCCTGAAATGATAAAGCATTAAAATTATGAGTGATGAGTTGCAGGGACTTGTGAGAAGTGGGGACTTGTGAGGACTTGCGATCACTACAGAGGAGTTGTGAGGACCTGTGAAGGCTAATAAGGACTTGTGAGTACTTTCCTTGATTGTGAGGACTTGTAAGGACTTGTGTGGCCTTGAGACGCCTTGAGAGGATTTACATGTATGGAGAAATGTCAGGACTTGTGAGGACTTATGAAAAATTGTGCCGACTGGTAAGGATTTTTAATGGCTTTTGAGGACCTCTGAGGACGTTTGAGGACTGTGATGGCTTGTGAGGACTTGTTATAACTTCAGGAGAGTTGTGATGGCTCATGAGGACTTGTACGGATTTGTGCGCACTTGTGAGACCTTGCAAGGCCTTTAGAAGACTTATGAGGTCTTGTCGGGATTTTTTAGGACTTACGAGGACTTATGAGAAATTGTTTAGACTTGTGAGGACGTTTGATGGCTTGCGAGGACAAATGAGGTTAAGTGAATATAACTCTGAACTCAAGACCATCATCTCTTACCTGATATGCAGACCAGTATGTTCTGGCTTTCCAGGACGTCCATCTGCTCAAATCGCTTGCGCGATAGCAGCGGATAGACCTTCCCTTCGCCCGACCTGTCCAACAACATCAGTCCGCTGTCGGTGCCTATTAAGAGATTTACACCTGGCGAGAGCAAAACCAAGAAACAACCCATTTTTAGTCTGGTTTTGTTCTTTGCTGGCGTTATTTTGTTTAATCACTGTACAGGGAATGCTGTCTGAGTGCTTGCAGCCTATTTTTATTTCTCTGTGACGTAAGTTGGTCAGCAACTTGGTCTATTGCAGGACGATAGGCTAACCCTTTACTTTCAACAAAATGACAAAATTTAGCTGAAGGGAAAAGTTGCCTGACTGCGTACAGCACTATTCCCCTCCATAAAATTACTTCGGCTAAATTGTTTGTTTTTAATTTCTTGGTACTTACCCCACAGTGACGCACACAGGATCTCTGAGTTGAACTTCTTGCGGTACTTGCGGATCTCCGGCATGTCGTTGAGGCTGTCCGGGGTGGTGGGCTTGACGTTGACCGAGATGTTGGAGCCTCGGCGCATGGGGACGAAGCCTGGCGCGGTGGGCGTGGTCGGGCTGGCCCCAAAGCCGAACGCAGAGAAGGAGGTCTGCTTGCGCATCGGGGATTTGACATTGCTGACAGGATTCTTGGGGTTATTGCTGATTGCTAGGCGATACTAGGGGAGGAGAAGGGAAGGGGGGGGGGAAGTCAGACTATTAAATTTGGTCTGGCTCTTGTCTCAACAAACGGTCAATTCAAACTCAACGTGGAACAATAAGCAGGAACAACAGCAGAGTTCTTCCCAGCACTTTATGACAATATTCCTTGAAGTTTTTCATGAAATTTCCCTGAGAAATTTCCAAAATTCCAGGAGAAAGATTTTCACTTTTGAAGTTGCTGGGAAGTCAAGAGGTGATGTAGCACAGCTAATTGTTATCGTCTGGAGAGGTGCGTTATATTAAGCCACCATAGCCAGTCAATGGCCATAACTGGGTCACATGGCACAAGACGCACATGCGCCAAACTGGGAAAACCCCTTCCCTTCTGGGTCACTGTCAAATTCCCTGAGTTTTGGTGTGTTTTTTTCCATCAAATTCTGTGAGTTTTCCCCGACTTGAAAATGGAAACTCATTTCGGTTTTCTCCGATTTCCAGAGTGGCTGGGAACCCAGAACAGAGAGGGCTGTGTGGCCTTCCCCTGAGATCCTCTAATGAACATGTGAATGACGCGTACATGCCGAGCCATTATTTCTACGTACTGTAGCAGATCCATAAGATGACACTACAGGGCCCAATTTCATAGCACTGCTTAACAGCCCACTTTGTGCTTACCGAGCCTCCATCTATTTCATAGGGACCGTTAAGCAGTAAGCACAGCAAAAGCACGCTTAACCACAAAAGAAAATTGTGCTTAAATCAGTGACGTAACAATAGAAATCTCCATGCGCGCAACCATTAACCCTCCCTTTGCTTAAGAGGTCACCAATGGTCAAAATTGTCTTCCTCACCTCCTGGCCTACTGTGTACAAACCAATGGGGGTCTTGACCAATATTGACCTAAGTAATAAGCAGGCAGACAATGCATGTTACCATAGGAGGGTTAATGAAAAAGTGCTTAAGCAGCAGTATAAATTTCTGCTATAGTAAGCACAACTTTTCTGCTTACTGTTAAGCAGTGCTATGAGATTGGGCCCATGTACTATCACGATTCCATATTTCTGCTACTTCAGCGGAATTCAGAGGAAAAATTAAAACAACACAAAACCTATGGACCAGCCAATGCAGCAAACACTTTTGGGGAGTTTTTCATAACATCATGGCTGGAAAACAAGCATCAAAACAGGAAAACTAAAACTGCTTATGCCTGAAAACAAATTTAAGCTCAAATCATTATGCTACTAAAGCTCTGTCAACGGAATCAGCCCAGTGTCTTATCACACACCACTGTAAAATTCAACATTGTGAATTAACAAAATACCACATCAAATTTGCAAGACAAAAGTTTCTTACAAGCCTTTTTTAAATATTTTTTTTTCAATTTCATCATGCTCCAGAGATAGCTGGCTCCACCCAAAATAGTTCTCGTTTGGATGCAACTGAACTCTGCCTCTGGAGCTACCCGTACCTCCGGAGCTATCCTAGCCCCCAAAATTTGTGGGGCTAGATCCACTTTCAGCTCAGCGGGGCTTCTTTTATGACCTGGCTCAAGCGTTATTTGTCATGTGGACGCAGCTGACCTAGCTCTACGCTGATGCATCTGTTCATTGATTATTTCTCTGACCAATATTGCGTAACCTATTTGGCGACCTTTTAGCTCCACTTTAACTCCAGCTCTGGAGATAATCATCATTGTATGAACGTGAGCACATTTTATTTATCACTAGCTCCACCGAACCCCCGTTGAGTTCATTAAATTTAAAAAGAGCTACATGTAGGTCCAGAACTGCCCTCCGTCTGAACATACCCAATGAAATGAACAATTTACAAATTTACGTTTAGATGTAGATCAACAAAAGAAAACTTAGACAAAGAAACTAATAAAACAAAAAGTCAAAAAAAAAAAATCATTTATGCTGATAAGTAAATCTGCAGTTTTGAACTAATAATAATCATAAGGGGAAAAAGCTCTGAAATAAAACAACCGTTTCATAAATTACGTTATACTTGTTAAAAAAAAAAAATCTACAGCTCTTCTGTAAATTATGCATAAATTGAATTAGTAAACTTAACGCAACAAATATTTAACATGCTTTGGAAACAAAATGAATCATATAGTTCAGGCAGATATCTTTATTAAATCAAATACATGGCAACGTGGTGGGAAAATATCTTCATCTACATTCTGTTAAGAATTGACATGCTCTATTTTGTATTAACAAAAAAACAAAATCATTGCAGTCGGGGGAAAAAAATAAACACTTGATGCAATTTCAGGGAGGAGTTGTCGGGATTAATGCCGGAGGAAATCTGGAGTCATACCTGGGCGTGAATTGAGCTCGACGAATCACTGACGCCCGTCTGGGCATGCTCAGTGAACACGTCGTCATCGGGCCCCTCAACCTACACACATACACACACACGCACAAATATATGAACGGCAGGGCACTGACGAATGCAGAAAGAACATGCCACACTAAGGTTACGCAAGCTACATTTTATGCCTGGTGCCCTCTGCCCACCTAGTCTTTCCAGTGATAAACCACTGGGTGTTCTGACTAATTTGGGTCATTCTAGAAATTTAGGGTCTATTTTTTCCGGTTCCTCCTGCACACATCTACCGGTATAATTCGGATGCACTCCTTAATGCAGTCGTCCTCCAAGAGTGATTATGAATAGCTAACTACCTACCCCACAAATAAAAAAATCTTGTGAGGTCATTCTTAATGATACTTGAATGGAAAACTACCAAGTACCAAGGTAACAGGGACAGGAAAAAGGTAACGCCTGGTTTAAAGTTGGTCGCGTGATGATAAACGCTGATGGTCGCTGAATGCTAAGCCCTTTTCGGAGAGTTCGTCGAGCGACGGTTGTAAGAATACGCGCTACGGTTGGAAGCATACGCACATCACAAACCCTACGCGCGCACAATTCAATTACCTACCGGTATGAAGTGTGACGATCAAGCATCCTAACAAAATTTCACCATTTCTCGCACCGGCAGTTGTTGTTTCATGTTACATTTGTTAAAAATGCAGATAAATAACAGTTTTTTAGTAGCGCGAACATCGCGCGACTGACTATCAACCGGGCTTAAATTTATTGAATGACTCTTATTGAAACCTTATCGTTTCCTTTAACCCAAACCCTCCCACACCTATCAAAAGCTGCCTGGATGTTTGAAGGACTGGGCAGGATTTAGTAAAATAGAGCACAGTCGACTTCACCTTATCTAACATGGGGCTTTATGCCCCTTCAAAGTTTAAGCACAAAGAATGTGCGATTAGCTTCTTGCAGGTTCTTGGGAGGATACGACAAGACGCCTTATAAAAATGCCTAGGGGGGGTAGGTTAACCCATCTGCAACTGTACTACATTGTATTACATATTGTGTTACATTGTATTACATATTGTGTTACATTGTATTACATTGTGTTTATTCGCTGAAGAATCAATAAAATCATGGAGAGCTCAGGCGGTTTGGGGCGCTACAGTGAGTAATAGGCAGGGCGGTTTCGGGCGCTACAGTAACTAAAGGGATAAATGATTTGCGGCTATAAGCCAAATCAGTATTCCAACTGCGCATGTACACAACAAGATTCCACGATTTTTACTTCGGAATAAACAAGGCAGATAAATACACACGAGTCTATCGGGGGCATGGTAGCCAAATCTGTATTCTGCAATTGTTCATACAATCAAACAGATGAAGTTGGGCATACAAAACAGCTAAAAACACTTCAATGTCCAAACTGTTTTGAAATTTTGTGCCTACTTTCGAACAAGACAATTTCTTAAATTTCCCGGTTCCCGTTATGATTTCGCTAGTACAGGGTGAATTGTTTATCCCGAAAGGAAAAACGTCAAATTTTGATGCGCACCTGTGCTGCTGGAACACCGAACTGGCTTATTCGCAAATCCTTGGTTTAAACTAAAGATTTTATGTCATCTCTTCAGAGAAATTCCCCCCAAAAAACTCACCTCATCTGAGGAAGCTTTGTCCTGCGGTGCCTGGGCCTTCCCGGCGCCGATAGGGCTCTGCTGCTGCATGAGAAGGTCTGGTAGGACATCGCTGCCAACTTCCAGATTGCTTGGTCGTGACTGGCCGTTAGAAATCTGATTGGGCAATCAGACAAAAACCAACAATTGGCATGAAATAGATTGCAGTTTGTCAGGTCCAGAGCGCTAACGGCAAAAATACATCGGTGCAGACGGCCCAATATTTATGGCACTGCTTCGCACACCGATTGCTCCTGATACAGCTTTCGTTCACTTCACGGAGAACGTAAGCAAGAAGTACAGGGTACCCAGCAATTCATGAAAACAAAATTCCCCAAATTTTCCCTGAATTTTTTTCCTAAGAAATTTCGAAATTCGATGAGATTTTTTCACTTTAACAAGGTTGCTTGGAAGCCAAGAGGTGGTTGCAGCAAAACAACTCAGATACTGATAATATTCACAATGCACATTCACTGGTTAGGGTTCGTGACTCATGATCAGAGGGTCCGGGGTTCGAATCCAGCCGCTGGTCATATATTGTGTCCTTGGGCAAGGCACTTCACCCCCACTTGATCCTCTCCACCCAGGAGTATAAATGGGTACAGGCATTAGCTGGGGAGTAACCTGCGATGGACTAGCATCCCATCCAGGGGGAGTAGAAATATTCTCAGTCGTTTCATGCTACTGAAACCGGAGATAAACGCCGGCCTGATGAGCCACATTGGCTCGGGACAGACTTTACTTTACTACATTCACTAAAAAGCCATCATATAACGTAGCCAGTCAGTCAAAAAACACAACTTGGACACATGACACAAGACGTAAACCCTTTCCGTTCTGGGTCAATGTCAAATTCCCTGAGTTACCGGCACCAGACAAAATCTTGTTACTGCCTGGGACCGATTCTCAGCTGATTTTTGCTTAGCACAAAAATCTGCTAAGCTGTATTGTTTTTGCTATTAAGTAGCAGCTTCGTGCAAGTGGGCCCTGGTCTTACCCTTCTCTGTTGGTTAGGGCTCTCCGTCTTCCTCTGGTTGGCCGGGGAGCCTGAGTGGGGTCTGCCTTGCCCGCTTCCCCCGGCCTGGTTGCTGGCTGGAGGAGCCCCTTGCCTGGTAGGACCCACGTCAATCTGAAAGGAAAGCACACGGTGGCCTCACAGTTCAAGAACTAACCATACCACCTCAAACTTCTCACTGTCCCTCTTGCTGTGTAGTCAATGCTTGGCTAAGCCAGCACATTTGTGACTCAAGCCAACCACAAGTCCAATTGTACAAGTACGTCAAATCACAAGTCATGTCACAGGTGCAGTGTAACAAGGGATGACCAATGACAAATGACGTAGAAATGCCCTTGTAACAGTTCATTTGCATGGGCAGTTACCGAACTTGGGACGGGACAACTAGTGGTTGACTTGTGAGGAATGACAGTACATTTTTCATTCCTCCATTAAAAAAAAATTAACCATCCTTTTTATTAAAAATCCTCTTGAACAACTCTTACCCATGACCCCTCTCATAAAAACCCTACTCCCTTTTTGTAACTTTCAACATCCATGAAGTTTTTAAAAGCCTCGTTCTGAGCCTCATAGACTTGTGTTAGTATATTAGCAAGGCAAACAGCAATGTCAGACGTCTCGTACCGGTACCTGTGTCCGCCCTGGTCCCGAGGGCTGCGGCACAAAGCTTGATGAGCTCTCGGAACTGATGTTACTCTCATTAGGATCTAGAAGAAGAAGACATAAAAAACAATGAAATATTTACTGTCAGCAACTTCAATCAGATTAACCCTAACGATCCCTATCCAGTCAAACTCCAACACCTGGGCCCAATTTCATAGAGCTGCTTAAGCAGAAAATTTGCTTAAGCACGAAAAAAAATTGCTTAGCAAAATTAGGTCACCGGCCAAAACTCCATGTGATGTACATTGCTTGTGACTGGTATTTAGCTGTTGTTTACTTAGCATAACAATCGCATGGAGTTTTGACCGGTAACCTGATTTTATTAAGCAAGACGTTTTTGTGCTTAAGCAAATTTTGTGCTTAAGCAGCTCTATGAAATTGGCCCCTGGGTTTGTTGGGATCTGTTAAGATGAGTACTGCACAAGTAAACTGATCATGCTTTACATGGGGTTAGGCAGACCACAAATAATCAGAGTCCAACTGTTTATGTGTACAGTTTACCAAATGGTGTTGGGATTTGCAAGGATGAGGAAGGTTCCTAGTAAATCACCCTAGGGCGTTAGGGTTAAAGATAATACTATCATTGCATAGAATTCTGCCATCAGCCCGGCACATAATTATTTTTTTTAACAAATTGATATTGGATATGTTTTTTCCTCACCTTCGTGGACTACAAATGTTGCTAAAGTATCTGCATCATATCCTTCTGGTTCGGGTCTGTGAAAGAAAAAACAACAAAGGGACAAACACTTTAAAGTGTGCAGACACCGAAACAGCAAAAAGAGTGATAAATTCATAATAAAATAAAACCTAACTTTGAAATTTTAAAATTTGTTGAAGAGAAGACCAACTTTAACTGGCACCTTTGAACTGTTTTCTTTATTCTGGTTCTGTGTGTCTTATGAGTGCTTTGCATTGTTGTTATTGTTACGACTTGATACTCACAGTGGCATGGGAGCATCTGAGGCCAGTACTGTGCCGTCAGCTCCACCCTCTGGCACCTCATCCTCCTCATCTTCATCATCCAGGCTACCTCCCTCGCTACCTCCGTCACCTTGACCTCCCATAGCGCTTAGCTGGGCTGCAAGGGCATCCAAGTCCTGCAACAAAAAGAATTACACCATGAATAATAATAATGATTTGGGAGGCTGATCACTGTAACTCGCAGCTGAGAATCTGAATTGCGAAGGACGTGGCTACATTGTGGTCGAGCCGCAGGCATGTATTCGCGCCTTTGGCAGCCGCCATACGACAAATATGTGACCAAAGAGCACCGCCAGAAAGCGATAGTGTTTTATTTCTTTGGAGGGTAGGAAAACAAGAGGGCCCGGAGACAAACTCTTGCAGCACAGGAGAGAACCAACGTACAACGCAACACTTCATATCCCTTCACCTGAAACTGACCTGCAGGGTTTGAAAGAGTTTGACATTATTGCTCTGAATACTGACTTCCCACGAGGAGGGTTAACACTGAATTTTATGTTAAGCACAGTCATAACATTGAGCCATTCTCACTAAGGCTGGCATGGGTACACAGGTACTTGTGACCTGTTCTGTCAAAAGCAGACGCTTCTGGGCAGAGGCTGAAATTGAGATATGGCCAAAACATGCTGTGGGGTGATTTTTTTGATTTTCAAATTTTTACATCTTTGTAATCCTGAACATGTCTAAAATATGCTATAAAAGTTTTTGACACCCTAATTTGAACTCTTAATATACTATTTTTGATGATTTGTAAAGGGATTTCAGTTAAAGAAATGTCTGTTTTGTGACGTTTGTGGCCATTTTCTCCGTTTTCTACTTTTCGACTCAATGAACTTCAAAATAGCATAACTCTGCCCAGGAATGACCGGTTTCAAAAATTAAACCACCTATTAAAATGAAAAAGAACGTATTTTAACAATATGCAAAAATCTCGTTTTTTACCTTATGCCCAGAAAAGTCTGATTTTGACAGAACAGGTATCCTGACTGAAGATGCTGGTTACCCAATACAATTTTTCAGTATTATTCACCAAGGCCGACAACAACTACCCGTAAAATCACACCACTGGTGCTCACGACGGAACTTACCGCCGGATTCTTGGGCCTTCCCTGGTTGTTGACCTGCTTGGGTGGTTGTTGTTGTTCCTTCCTGGCTGGGTCTACCCTCACCTCGCTAACCTGAGCTACTTGGGGTCGGTTGGCTGCAGCAAATCAAAATAAAAAATTCTTCAATTTTTAGAATTGTGGTTCACATTTTTCCTTTTTTTTTTCAGAGATGAATTGTGGAAATAAATACATCAGAGAAGTTTTCATTGCTGAACCATTTTGAATAAAAAGTGCATTTACTCTATTGCAAATTGAAAAAAAAAGCCAGATTCATACATTATGGGAATAAATCAGGCAAGTTATTCCGACGGAAAAAAAAACACCTCGGTGCATTTCTTTCACTAGAAATGGAAAGTAAGCCAGATTAAAATCTGAAGTGAATTTTAGTAAGGAGCCAACTGTTTAGATACAGCAATGGACAAGAACAGAGGAATGGAATTTATATGGCATTCTTGCACATGTTCATTTAGCAGGAAATGGCCTCTACTTTAATAAGCAAAAGGCTGAAATTATAGAGAACCGATCAAATTTGCCAACATCAAATGGAAGAGTCCGTAAAATACATGTCGTTTTAATACCAATCGACCATTATTTAACAATATACCGGTATTGTAACGAAAAAATACATTAAATGTGCGCGTACCGGTACATGTAAGAGCACATAGAGAAGATATGGCAATTACTGAAATATTATTAAATACGATTTGAAACTTTTAAAAACATTGCAAGAACAGTATTAGTAGTTTTGGTGCAAAAATGTTAGAATGTCAGTGTAGCTGTGAACACAAAATGAACGTTAATGAAACGGACAAAAACAAATAATACATGTAATTAGTGAAAAAAAGGTAGTTTTTCATAAGGTTGTTGTATTGGCATACATATACATGTAGTAATCAAACAGTATTTTTAAATTGAATGATCGAAATTTACAGACTTTCCATTGTTGAAATGATGTGCTATTACAATGTAATTTTGGGTAACATCAGCTGTAAGAAGAACTTAGAAAGAGGTTATATTTTTGAATGTGATAAGTTTTGCATTCATCCATTTGGACACAGCCCAACCTCTTGTGTTGATTTCAGTTTTCTTTTCATTACAAATAGAAATCCACCCTATACTTTTTAACATGAGGAGGTTCCATAGAGCTGGGGATTTCGTCATTCTGAAATAGACAATCCCTTCCTCTTGCAACAGTCCACGTAGAATAAAAAATCTTGTTGACGCACCCCTGAATCCTTGTGAGAAGTGAGAGAGTTCATCGACTGTGATTGAAAAGATGACAAGCTAATAATGACTGCACTACCAATAAATTTGGGGATATCGGAGGGTTCAAACTTTGAAACATGGCGGAAATCTCACTTAAAACTTTAATACTGATGCTCTTTGAAGTGATGTTGAGGGTCACTGTTGTTCCAATGAAAGTCTATGGAACCACCATGAAAACAAGCTGGTCGCGGGACAAAAATCACTTGTCATTCCAAGAGGTTTAATCTGTAAAGCTACTGAACTGCTAGCAGAGAAGCTGTTGCAAATGTTGCTGAAAAGTTGCGTTTACCTAAAAAGCTGATGTCCTGACCACAGCAAGTACATGAAAAAGCGTGGAGAACAATGATAGTGCTTTTGTTGTTGGACTATTTTTGAGATCGCACACTACAATGAGAGCTTTACAGTTGAAAGCATGAGAAGAAAAACTCTACAAGGAATTTCCAAACAAATGTAGCTTCAGAAAGAACAGGAATGAATACGTGTGTATATAGCAATTGGGGTAATATTTCCACACAGGGTAGCAGGATTGTTTAGTTTAGGTAGAGCCATCAATACATAATTTAGGTTAAGGCAGAAATAAATATATCACAGCAATTTTTAGGCTTCATGGAGTTACTTCAGGAACTTCAACGCGGTTGTCACTGCAAAGAAGTTACAGCAGCATCTGCATGTTATGCAAATCAACTGCAATTACAAGCATCAAGCGTGCTCAATATTAGTCTACATATAAGTTTGGGGGTAGGGGTGGGGGCGGGAAACGTAGTTTCGGATAGGGTGTTCCGTCAATAGCAGGGTGCAACTGCAATTTAGAGTGACTCCTACATTGAGAGAAATATGCATTGCTATTACTGCACCACACCAAGAAAGGACGTTGCTTCAAATGCACGGCACTTTGGAAAGATGCGTTGAAGTCCTCGCTAACTGCACTTGTAAACTGCATTTTCAACTGCAAATGCCAGCCGGCCAAGTCAGCAGAGGGCGCTATGCTACGGTAACTTTGGCAGTAAAAAGTAAGAGGGGCAAGAACTGCAAATCTGATGGATGCCAACAGGTATCGCAGCCTTTAGTAGATATGCTTGCAGATGGAGCAAAAGTTACACACAAGATCAGATACTGTATGTTACATTTTTTGTATGCTTCCCTCAGATGCAATTGGGGAAAATTCTGATTCAAAATTGGCCCACGTGTCTCAAAATGGATACCCACTTTTTGTGGGGGGGGGGGGGGGGGGGGGGGAGGGAGAGAGGGAGGGGAGGGGAGGGGGAGAAAGTGTACATGTATGCATATCTTGTACATGTACATGTACATGTATATATGTACGCATATCTTGTACATGTAGGTCTTCATATTTTGCTTTTTACAGTGAAACTTGGTCTAATCTTTTTATCGACGATCTGAATTACATCTGAAGTACTTTGTGGCTTCCTGGTTCCAATTTGAACATTACGGGCAGCTTGGACGATATTCAACCTACATGTACGTAAAATGTGCATTCATCTTTACAATCCCGGGTACATACATGTACCTTATTCAGAGTGGCCTTCTATCTACATGTACCATGCATGCATCCTAGGCCGAGTACCTACATGTACATGTAGTTTGGCCTCTAATCATGCTAATGTGGCCACTTGGGTACCTTAGATTTCCACCCAGTGTGGCCCCATGCGGTACATGTATATATACATGTACATGTACATGTATGTACATTGTGTATAATGTACATGTAGTCCATAAACATGGGTGGCCTTATGGATGTAACCACCAGAATTGGCCACCAAAAGTGGCCACCAAAATTGGCCACCAAAAGTGGCCTTCAAAGATTGCCAGCCATTTCGATCCATCCCCAACTCCACTTACCGTATCTACCGGTATTGTGGCCACCTAAACGCTGTGTACAAATCTTAATTTTCATGCAGCCGCTGTTTTCTTTAAACTTGGTTTGGCAGTAATTATGTAACCAAAGCAAAATAAAAGGACAGAAACTAAAGAAACCACAGTACGTTTCTATCAAATTTTTTAAGTTATCCCATCCCTACTATCTCAACCTAAGGTATACACACAATGGTTGATGGGCAAGCAGTGAAAGTGACAACTGAAGCAGAAACAGCGTATCATGCCACGCATGCTAAATATCCACATCACATGCATTTAAAGTTGGCCGCCAAAAAAAATAAATAAGATAAAAAGCATGCAGTAAAAGGTGCAGCTCTGCCAGGCCTCGGTAGACGGATTACAACCTCGACCCCAAATGTCTCCGTCCTCGTGATACTCACCCATGTGTTGCGTAATTACCGGCTGTGCCCTGGGGGCCTCGACCCTGACCGGAGTTTTGGGCGTAGGGGGCGGGGTATGCTCCTCTGCGTGTGGTGACAAGGCAAACGGGTCATGCACAACGAAATAAGTGGCACAACAACAAGACTCTTGTCTAAGATTTGAGGCTTTGCATGGTGGGGTATCGGTATCGTTTCGGTTTTGCGGTAACACCATGTGGTAATAACTACTGCTTAGAAGGTATTAGTTCTGAGAAGAACTTGTCCTGCTTATTATCAACTTGCTAAGTAGTTTTTGTTCTGTTTAGAACAGTCCTGCTGTAAGTTCTAAAAGAACTTGTCTTTGGTCTCAACGTTTCGACTAGCCTGCTCTAGTCATCGTCAGGAGACTGAAGATAGTTGGAGATGCTACTCCTTAAGTAGGATTTGTTAGGATTAGGAGTGCTTGCTGTTCTAAACAGAACAAAAACTACTTAGCAAGTTGATAATAAGCAGGACAAGTTCTTCTCAGAACTAATATCTTCTAAGACTCTTGTCACTGATACTTTTTTTGGGTCAAACCACAGACTGGTACAAGTCTAATTAAAAAAAAAAAAAAATGGCCGCCTAGCAACAACTTTCGGAGGTCTATGGAAGAGATTTTAAACAATGTCGGGCATGTGTTTGAAAAGGAATGGAAGAGTGGAATGCAACATTTGGAGTAGAAAATATGAAACTTATTCCGGAAGGAAAGGGTGTGAAAAAGGAAAAATATCTCATCAACTAATATTTGTAAACATAAATTTGAAGAAAAAAATGTGCGGAGTTAATTTTTAAATAGTCCATCACCAACCAATTTTTGTGAAAAGATACCTGAACAAAGTGAAATTAAAACAGCAATGTGGCAAAAACGGACAGTTTAAAAATAAATGAAAAGCATTCAAAAATACACCATACTGCACAACATGCTTATCAAATGCACAATTGCAGACAAGACCACATTGAACGTGGATAACTCTAAAAATGGAAAACAAAATGAGGACCACATTTTGTCGGATTCATTGCAGCGTTGAACTAACATGCCACAACAGATTCCTAAAATTTAACTAACTTTGCTACGGATGTGAACGCACACTTTAAAAATAAAATTGCCTCGCCCCGCCAACAATTGTCCCTCTCCTCTTCAAAGTTGCTTTGACAAACTTTTTTTTTTTTAAAACAGCATTGCAAACTTTCGCTGCAAAGATTAATTCATTGCATCACTGCAAAAAAAAGTTTTACCAACATCTGAAACCTTCCCATTTCCAATTGTTTTGAATAGGGTCGGGTTTTGGGGAAAATCTAGGGAAATCTTGCACTGATGTAATGAGGCGTGCTTATCATAATACATGTACATGTACATACGACAAACTGGCCCGAAAAAAAGGAGGCACTAAAATTACTGTATGCCAAATTTCTCAAACGGGACGCACAAATCTCAGTTTGAAAATAACAATGTACATTGGCTGGGTCTGAGGAAATATGCCAAGTGTCACATTTAAAATGATTTATTTGGTTACCGACGGTTTTTCATAATGGGATCTTTTCCCAAATCAGTATTGTTGTATGAAAGGGATAATAATAATTTCTGAATGAAATTGTATTTTGCGCTGATAAAGTTACCACCAAAAAAACCCAACTTTTAATTACAGTCCCCCTGTTAAGTCTCCCTTTTTCCTTTTTTTTTTCTTTATTGGACCCAGTCCTGTCTGTTCCCTGAGTTCTATGAAAACATATAGAAGGGGAAACAAACGTTTTCAGAACAAAACTAAACATCATCCCGTCAGTGCAACAAGGTTTATTTTATCTACACAATTCTGCATGTTTCACATCAATGAAACTTTGCACGGTGCCTCAAAAGTTTAACACTGGAATTACTTGAGATGAGAGAATTCCGAGTTACGACCTTGTTGCGCGAACGTGATGATATACGCACACTGCAACCTTGCTTCGAAACCTCATAACTGCTTTTTTTAGTTCAGTAATGAACTTCTACGGGCTTGATTATAGTAAATCTAATGAACACATAATGAATTGTAGAAAGAGTTTAGTAAAGTGAACGGACAAGTACACAAAATGTAGTAACTAAACCAGCAAACAGGACTCAAAAACTTGTGAAGCAATGAAAACAAATCATTCAGTCTGTTTTATTTTGTTTTTACTGATCTTTGTTGATTAACCAAAACCCTCCAAGATCATTGAAAATCCACCAGACGGTTTTGCAAGTAAAGTCTTAGTACGAGCAAAAAATGCGCCCTTGGGGTTTCTGCACTGTGGAGGATTTTTTGCCACAGCTGTTGTCGAGTCCATCACGAGTCAGACCCAAGTCAAATCCCAAATCAATCAAAAGTCACATGACGTGTCAGGTGGCAAGTAACAGGTGATGAACAAAGACAAGGTTTGTGTTGTTCATTTTTTTTGTTCAATTGAATAACTTTTTCAACTTGACGTTACACTGGAGGACTTGTGATTGCCATACGGTAGATTTGTAAGGACTGAACTTCAACTCTGTTTTTGGCGAATTTAAGAAGTTTCCCAGCAAAAAATGAAAAAAAAACAACAACAACAAAACCTGAAACAAACAAACAAACAAACATATTAGACCCTGGGCCACCAAAACCTTCCGTTACTCCCTGTACCACCCAAATCTGTCCCACTACTCTACGGTTTGATGGATTTATCAGGGCATAAATAGCATGTCAAAGAACGTAGTAAAGGTGCTGCTAATGGGTTAATGCTGCCATTTTGTCGTGCCTGAAAAGAGCGATTCAACTCACCCACGGCCTGGCTCAGCCTAGCCTGCTGCCTGTTCTGCACTGCGGCTTGCGGCAGTTGGGCGCTGAGCGGCCTGCCCTGCTGTCTCGGGGGCTGTTGCTGTGGCTGGGGCTGCCTGGCAGGGGGCTGATACTGTTGCTGTGGCTGTTGGGGCTGCCGGATTGGCTGGGGTGCCTGGTTGGGGATCGGGCGTAGGTTATCCGGGGGCCGGTAGCGGGGGGCGGGGGATTCCCGTCTCCGCCCCTCCTCTGCCTGCAGGCGCTGGAAGTTCTTGCGGAGGGTTGCCTCGCTCGGGCCCGGCAGCATGGAACTGAATTGGATTTACAAATTTGAATTTCATTTCCAGCCTGATCCACTTACCCTAAAGCATCCAATTTCTCCATGAACATGCTGAAAGCCAATACCTTATATTTTTCATGGGGAACCGCCAACATAGATTCCATAGATTCCGGTAGCTCAGTTGGTAGAGCACCGGAGCAGTGCTCCAGATCTCACAGCTTCAAACCCCTCAGCAGTCAAATTATTTGTTCAACTTTTGAATTAATTTGACAGACTGGGTAATGTGAGCTTCCTCACAATCTGGCCTTGAAGTCCTTATTCCTTCTATATAGAACATCAGGAAAGCGTTCAAATTGTGCAAATGTTGCCAACATTTGAATACATATATCAACATCCCTTACGGAACACATGCCAGTACTAAAAATGCTTACAAATGTTGGAAAGTTTGAATCGAATGCTGTTGAAAGTGAAGCATGCTAAATACATTTGTACATTTGTGCGAATAGGAAGATTGCCCACTGCATCACTATTTCAGGCAAATTCTGCCTCTCAAGTTCAAATGCATTTTGCTACGCTTATTGTTCACAGTCTTAGAGATAGAGGCTTAAGGCGGATTCATACTTCACGCAAATGCGACTGTGAAGCAACTTTGACTTCAGGGAAAGTTCACTACAAAATTCGCCAGAGTTTAAACATGTTTAACTTTTGCAACAGACTCAGTGACAGAGGCTTATCAAAGCCTCTTCACACTTCACACAAATGCAAATTTGTGAAGCCAAATTTGATGTCACGGAATATTCTCTGCGAAATTTGCCGGAGTTGAAACATGTTCAACGCCTGCAAATTTGCGGATGCTAGAAAATTTGCAGACGCTTACAGATTTGCAGCACGAATAACTTGCTATCGTGTCACAAATTTGCATAAATTTGCATTCACGAGTGGCACTGAGCATGAACAAGCCTTCAGCTTTTATAAGCAGACAATTGTGTGCTTAGGAATGCCAATAAAAACAAAAAGAAGGAATGGTCCCAGCTTAGCTTACTGAGTAAGTTGCTGGTTAATTAATTAGGTGACTGCAATTGCTAGTTACCTTGGTTCTCCTTCATCTTCGATCTCCCCGTCTTCCTCGCTCTCGTTACTGTTGTAGTCATAGTCAGTGGCTGAATCCTCCACTGGCAAAGTCATGGAGAGAAAACAAAACAATCTTGTAAATCTGAAGTCATTCTCATGTCTTCAATTTCAATTAAATCAAAGGAGGGGGGGGGGGTGTGATTACCAGATGACAAACGACATGTAAAATTCTTCAGTTTATTGTTCCCAGACTGAATAAACGGCAACCAATGCCCAAAAATCTGAATGTTATTTGAATAGATTATTTTTCACTTATTTGTGAGGTTTTGGAGTGCTTTTTTGTAATTCTGTCCAAAATCTCTCTGGGAATCTGCACAGATCAGGAGACAATAATTTCGGTTTCAACTCAGCAGGAAGAAGAAAAATCCTTGTAAAGAAACCACATGTACAATACATATAGCACAACATTTTATGTCATTTTTTTGTTAAAAACACTCATTCATGCTTGTACAGAAAGAAAACAGAATAAACAGAAACCAGACAACACACTGTAAAAATGTCAACAAGACAGGACTTTAAATATTCTTCTGAATCGGCGAACGTGTATCAAACACACATTTCATAAATACCTGGTACCTAAAGCCCGGTTCATACTCCATGCGAATGCGAATGCGAAGCGAATTTGTCGTCATGAAACATTCGCTGCGAAATTCGCCCGAGTTGAAATATGTTCAACTTTTACGAATTCGCAGTGCAAATACTTGCCACGCCGTCACAAATTTGAGTTCGCTTTCGCTTTCGCGCAGCGTATGAACCGGGCTTAAGACCGTTTACCCATTCCTATTGGTCGGGAGCCTGTCACGGGTGGGTGGCTTTAAACAGCTGATAAAACACCGACTGGTTTTAAACACTTTTTCCAACCGGCACCACTGCGTTCTGGCCCACATCACGCAGTATGCGCCACATGTGTGCCAATCTCCACATAAGGATAGTTTTAGCACTACGTTACTCGCGCGAGGCACATACCATAAACATAGATAGAGGGGTGTTTCACAAAACATGAAGTAAAACTGTTGAACAAAACCGTTGGAAATTTACATATTTTTGTTTACTTGTTTTGACTTTTTTGACCGAAAGGTATTTATGAATGGGAATAAATGTGTGCTTAATTGGCAGGTATTAAACAAGTACGTTTAAAACCGGCTAGGAGTCTGGACACGGATTAGCGTACAGGCTCCTATCCGGTTTCAAACTTGTTTAAAACAGGCCAAGCACATATTTATTCCCTTATTAACAGTCTGTGATACAACCAACATTACACATTCACAGAACCTCCCATGAACCCAAAAGGCAAGCATAAAAAGGATTTTTTTAAATTTTTTACTATAAATTAGACAATATAAAGGGGATAAAAAAAAATGGGTTCACATTCTTCCACCAATGGAGGATGACATGCAAAAATATTGAGGTAAGGAGAAAAATCTTAAAAGTAACTCATTTGGCAATATCAAACCAAAATGTGCAAAACTTTCATACAAAACTACACCAAAATGTGAAAATTATAAACTTCTTTAAATACTGGTAGCAAAAAGGTTGCAAAACGTAATTTTTCAACAAAATGTCCCCTTCAAAAGAATTTTTTTTCAGAAAGGGGAGATGAGTTGCATTTACCGTGTATAGGGACCGTGATACCCTGTCCTATGGCGGCAGGAAAATGTCATGACACAAAACGTTAGGCATGAAGAATCACAACACGATTGTTTTCTATTTTTGGATTGTGATTTGGAAAACATCTATCAGATTTGACTGACGTGGTCTTGACAAATATTTATGCAGGGTACAAAAGCAATCACCAAATTTCATTATGTGAAGGTTTTACACAAAACACATTACACATGTACATGTACATGAAAACTACTTCACCTGTGGTTGTCCAACTAGTCCGAGGATCAAATATTCACGTGTGCAGAGCCACGCAATGAACGTCTGGTATGGCCGAGCATGCGAATTTTATGCGACCCCGCATTTAGAAATGGTGACGTCATTTTGATCAGAAACGTACGTGGATTGGTCAATTTGGCTGCCATGTTTTTGTAATACAATAACGGGTTACGGGAGACCCGATAGAAGGGGCCCGCTGAATGGTCAGAATCTGGAGGTCAGGATGCAGTCTCTGCGCAAATACCGTATCATAGATGCTTGGTGCAAGCAGCCATTCCATAGACTACAGTCCAACCATGTCTTGGGAAGAAAATCTTTCTAGACCTTAAGCCAATACTTTGATTTTAGGTTATGACTTCATTTACATGTACATGTAAAGTGATAACAATTTCATTCACGTTTCTTTCCCAATTTTACTTCCATGTCACAGAGCACTGAGTCTTTAAAGAAGTGAGTTACAGGTGATTTAGAGAAATGGTTGAAATTTTGACGAAGCTTTCTCGAAGGGAACATGAACCCTAAAAAATTTCATGCCAAATGTTAATTTTCCTCAAAACCTCTCAGAGACAATAAACCTAAAATTTGTATTTAAGGTTCGCCACAATTTTTGTTTTCATTTTTGAAAACTTAATCATTCCTATATCAAAATATTCACTGTTGAAGTCTAGTCCATGACAAGTCCATCACAAATCCTCCCTTCTAAAGTCAAGTCACAAGTTATTCAAATGAACTGTGACAAAAGCAGTCCTCAGTTGTTGTTCATCCACTGTTTACTTACATGTAAGACTGGAATCACGACAGGTCTTGTGATTTACTTTTGACTAGACTTGTGATGGGCTTGATTACAACATGGACACTACAGATTTTTATGAATGACGGGGCCTTTTTATTCTTTTGTTCCCCCCCCCAAAAAAAAGGCACAAACTGGATTCTCACCTCTCTTCTTCTTGGTGCGGTCGATGTGGTCCTTGAGTTGAATTCGAACCTGCCTCTCATTGGGCAGGTCCTTGATGTAAGGGTGCTTCAGCAGCTGTGTGGTGTTGGGCCGATCGTGGTAGTTCTTCACCAGACACTTCTCCACAAAGTTGGAGAATTTCTTACTCCTGCGTTGAAGGGAGGGGGAAAATGAGATCACTCAGCCAGTTCAAAACAAAGTTTCAGAATAATTGTTTAAGTCAACATGTGTATGTTTCAGACAAGTGCATAATTTCCCAATTGCATTGCATATTTCTGCTGGACATCAATCAATGCTGTGGTTAGCCCAAAATAACAAATAGACGGCACATGGGGGGGGACACCTTTTCTACAACTGTATTTGCTTCTTTGGAAAGTATTTGTGCATTTCTGTTGGTCTCTACGCAAATGTAACATTGAAATTATGTAAAGATACCTATATTTTTCAAACAATTTTCTACCGTTGTTTCAAGTTTTTAAATGAAAACACTAGTGTTGAGAATATCCGTTTATTGCGGGAAAACATTATTTTGTCTGTGTACATTTTACAAACTTTTTATCAGATGGGGAGATGTTCATTTTACATTGGGTTTTGCCCTTTGCTGACATATTTATAAACAAAGTAAACTCAGTGTTGTCTGATGGCTTGTGAGAAAAAAATCACAAGCTTACTCGGGTGGGACTCGAACCCAGGACCTTCTGCTGACTAGTGTGGACATCTTGCCACACTCCACCACCAAGCCAGCGTCGGCAAAAGGCAAAGCCCAAAATAAAAGTTAACATTTTCCAAGTTGCAATGCTTTCTTCAGACAACCCTGTCTCTCACCATTTTTTGCTTTTCATCCTAGGTGGCGGATTCCGAGGGATGAGAAATAGCGCCCTCATGGGGTGCATGTCGCAAAGAGCTGCAAAAACAGATGGGGAAAAGAAAAACCACAATGTAAAAGTCGTTCCTCAAACAAAATAAGATGATCTGTGGAAATCAATCACACACTGAATGGTTGTGAATACAAGGTTTCCGTAACCACACAATGAAATTCATGAAAGTAAAACTATGATGGGTGTCTATATATACATGTACACTGCAGCATCATTTATTTTAATAACCTTGATTTGACAAAGAAGATTTGAAATTGAAAGTTTTTAATTCATATCACGACAAGGAAGTGAAGGTCGATGACATTTATAGGGAAAGTTAAAGAAGAGGAACAATAAGTAACGTGTCTGTGACACGTTGTACGTTGAACATGACTAGCACCGTCAGTCATTGCAACTTTTTTTTGCAAAGTTTTGCTTTTATTTTTGGGATATGAGTCTTATTAGCTTTCACTTGAGTCGAGTCGAGTTTTTTGATGAGGGACTCGAGTCAAGTCGAGTCACTTGCTCCCAGTGACTCCGTTGAGTCACTTGCTCGCAGTGACTCCAGTCGAGGTGAGTCATTTACCCATAGGAACTCGTGTCGAGTCGAGTCACCAAAAATTGTGACTCGAGTTGGACTCCAGTTGAGTCATTGACGCGAGTCATTACAAATCTTAGTGCGATACGGACCAATTACACCACACTGTTGTTGCCATGCATTGACCAATTAGGATCGAGAATTCAGGTTTGCTTGAAGATGAGATTTTATGCATTTACACATGCCGAAATTCCTCGCTAGCCTCTGCAATACATTTTCTGTTAACACAGAACTTTCTGATATTTAGTAGAAATTCTGCGCTTATGCTAAGAGGAGCAATGAAATGGACCCAGAGGATTTGTATAATCAGCTATTAAGGGACCTTCTCAATATCGTTTTGTTTTGGATATGCTTAATGACATCATGGTTTAATGCAGACTCTGAACTTACGAGGCTGTCCCTCAGCCATCTCCAGCGCGGTGATCCCCAGGGACCACAGGTCGCTGCGATTATCGTACGTCGCGTCGGGATTCTCGTCGCAGGCGATGACCTCGGGCGCCATCCAGTACGGGGTACCGATGAAGGTGTTACGGCGACCGATAGTCTTGTCCAGTTGGGCACTCACGCCGAAGTCAACTGGAGGAAGACATGTATGGACAAATTCATAAAGACTATGTATAGGGTGTAAGGTTAACTTACTGATGATATGTTACTAACCTAAATACTAAGGTCACGATATATGATAAAATGTATCACAATACATATCATAAATTTAAGGCATGATAATTTAGTTTTGATACATATGTACATGTACTGTTATATATCATTCATGAGTTGAAAGTTCTTAACTTTCTTTTTGGTGTCAAATCTTTCAATTAAACGTAAAGGTTGTGTAACATTTTGTACTTTACAAAAAAACAAAAAAATTCTGGTACCTGAAAAAGCTTCAAAGTCTGAATATGCATAACTCTAGTCAATTTTCACAAGTGCAGGGCCCAATTTCATAGCGCTGCTTAACAGTAAGCAGAAAAGTTGTGCTTACTATAGCAGAAAATCATGCTGCTGCTTAAGCACTATTTCATGCTAATGGTTGCGCGCGAATGAAGATTTCTATTGTTACGTCACTGATTTAAGCAAAGTTTTCTTCTGGGTTTAAGCGTGCTTTTGCTGTGCTTACTGCTTAACGGTCCCTGATGAAATAGATGGAGGCTCGGTAAGCACAAAGTCGGCTGTTAAGCAGCGCTATGAAATTGGGCCCAGATTGTACACTTGAAATATAACTTGATTTCAAGTGAAAGAGGCTGACCCAGTTTGACCTCTGCATCCTCTGTCAGCAAAACATTCTGCCCCCTTGATGTCTGCTCCCACATTCAACTAAACTGTGTCAAAGACTCTCCTTTCGCTGTTAAGTTGTGATTATGTTTATACAGTGTAATTTGAATTGTGATTCCCATTTTTTTCACTTATCATTTGAAAGGGAATTGAAATTTGTGATAGAAAGGACCATAGTTCGGAGCCCATGGGCTAACTTGTACACACTGGGGCGATAACCCATCCCAAGCACTAAAAATGACAACAGCAGATTATAAACTTGCAATATATAACTTAATTTCAAGTGAAAGAGGCTGACCTAGTTTGACCTCTGCATCCTCTGTCAGCAACACATTCTGCCCCTTGATGTCTCTGTGGATGACATGGTTGGCATGGAGATGACTTAGTCCCTGCAAGAGAAAAAAAACATGCGAACAATTACATGTATTAACAATTGAAATTGATCACACTTTTGAGGTCACAATGAAAAATTTGAACATTATTTTATTCAACCTTTTTTTCATCAGAGAGTAAAAATTGAAGGCAAAACGAGATTTGCACATTTTTATTTTTAAGACCGACAATCTAGTAGTCTGGTGGCAAGACTTATGGAGAGAATGTATGGAAAGAGAGACTTGTTCTTCTTGGATCCAGATGCTCCTTTTTATAACTTTTGTACTTGCAAATATTAAGTTGCAGTAATTATTATTAATCATTTTTGGTAATGAAACCAAGGCTTCCTCAAAAGCGCCCTAGTCACTGTAGCTCGCAAGCCTGAAGTAACCTGTGGAGAGAAGACAATGAGAAGAAATTACAGTTTTAGAGGTGGGAGGAAAAGCCCAGAAGAATATTCTGAGGAAAACCCACGGAATCAGGCAGGGACTGAAAACCCAATCCACATATTGGCCCAGGCGGGATTCGAACCCGGGTCACAGCGGTGGAAGGCGAGGAAAGTACCGCTACGCCAACCTGACTCCTAATGAAGTGGTGTTGGCCTGATTTGACATGCTTTCTTTTTTATAGTGCATATTGTCACTCCCTATCATATCAGCTATTGAACTTTCACATGTTGGACATTTTGTTGAGAATCCCGAAGTTTTTTTTTCAGAATTGCGCAACTCTAGCATGTGATGGGTTGTCACGATGGTGTAATGACCAAAACAACAAGAAAACAGTATTTTCCATAACATCCTCATTATGTGTACTGCCCATACTCTCACTCTTTCTTTTACTTTTGTAATTGTTTTAGTGTAAGAACTTAAAAACTAAACTGTACTCGTACCGAACAGAAACCGAAAACAGAAATTTGCACACGTACCAGTAGATGTCATGTTCTTGTGAGAAATATGTACATGTACACGTACACAAATACACATTTTGACAATGATAAACGAGCCAGTAGTCCTATAAAACTGCATGTAAGCCGATCACCACTGTCATCATACACGTAATCATTCACTGTGGCACAGTGTTTAATTTGTTGAATGCGTACATGTACATGCAGGCCCTTGTTTGATTCAAAACCTAAGAACGGCAACTTCAGCATTTTTCAAGATCGATTGATTTTTGGGGTCATCCGAAAACAATGCAATACAGGTACACTGCTTTCCTAACAATCACAGCTTTGCTGTTTACTTTCTTCATGATCAGAGCCCCAACAGAGGGCAAACTGCCTCCGGTTGAAAATATCAATGCAACAGAGGGAAGTGATGCCTCCTTTACATGTAACCGTTTATGCAAGAGTAAACGGAAACCCGCCAACGAGACTTCAAAGTGGTTCTCGATTTCCACAATCGGAGAGAAGTATCCAAGAAAGATTAGCAATGACACCGCGCACTTGATAACTTGGAACAAAAAATCCACAACTCTTCGCTTGTCCAACGTCACTCCGGACGATGCGGGTGTGTACTTGTACATGTACCAATGCAAAGCCCCAACACCAGTGAAGTACATGTACATGTATTACATCCTTCAAGTAGATGTGGTCAACCCTCCAAATGAAAAGCCTGGCATGATGCCCACAACAGAAGGTAGAACGCATAGAGCACAAGGTGAAGATTTGACCACGTCACCGCGGACTGCTCTTCCCAATGGACAGCCATGCCCAACAGCGCCAATAGGGCGTCCCGAAGATTCAATCCCTCCCACGGCAACTGATAATCGTTTCTCCGGGCAGCCGCATCTCGTGATTGGCATCTACGTGAGCCTTCTGCTTAATGTCATCATAACGCTGATGGTGGTCTATCTTTGCATCAAGAGAGGGAGCCCTACCAATACGCAGACATCCAACATCGCAGCAGTCTCACAAGAGGCGGAGCCTCCCGAAAACCAAGAGGATCTGGTGACACGGATGAGGAGGGATAAGGAGAATCCAGAACTAACCAGTGAGATCTGGATGGGATGACCATGCCCCATTACTACCGGTAGCAGACTTGATCATATTGGAATTTTTTTTTTTTTTTAGTAGTGATCAACATGCAAAATGACTCTATCCACAAAATTTGTGCTCAATATTGTCTGCTACTCTGTGCTAATCATGTCAGCACACTATCCTTAGTTGCAGGATATGTACAAATGCAAAGATTCTTCGCTTATGATAAACAGAGCCATTACTCAGTTTGCTATTTATTTTGGATGAAAGTGTGACTTGTGTGTATAATCCCATGCATCTGAGATAGTAAGCATGTATTTTATGGCCTATATACATACGTGTACATGTACCGGTAGATGCAACTCTTACCATAATTACTGAATAATCTGTTGTCTCCCTGGTTTTACGGCAAAAGATACTTAAATGTATGTGGGCAGTATATGGTACATGTACATCTTAAGGTTCACAAACTTTCAATGCAACTTCGTGGGCCCGTACATTGTAATGTCATATTATGGTTTCTATAGTCCGTAGCCCCTTTGAGTTTTTGTCTCAGGTGGTACGATACTGAATTGAAGAAGTACACATACCCGTACATTTGTACGTACATTGTACATACGCACAGAACAAAATGACTTGCATAGAACAACAAATAGGCAAATGAAACTATTAACGGGATTGCCAAAAGGATTAATATCAGTAAAAAAAATTCTTGTATTGCAAATTTACATATGTATGTATACACAATGCATACTAATACTGGTATGTGTACAAAGTGCATCCACTTTATATAAATTCAGGGACTACCGGTAATTTACAATGTAAGTAGCAAAAACTAAGACCGTCATATAAATAAGGGCTTCATCTCAATAAAAAAACCCACATCTGAGTAGACCAAATATATCCCCACTCAACATGCATGCACCTTCCAACACCTCCCATCAGTTCACACACCATAAGGAAGGCAAATCCAATCAGAGTTAACCCCCAACATTGTTCATGGTTCGCCGCTCCAAAGTTGTTCCTCTGTCCTCTGCCACCGCCTCAGCCCCTTTCTTTTGCTCCAGGGAAAGAAACCTTTTCACATCCAGCTTCTTTTCATTTCCTTGAAGCAGCAGCTGCAGGGAATAGATTACCACACGGTCGACCTGCATGCTTAACCGCTTGGAAACAAATGCCTCTGTTGCTGAGTATTCCAGAGCCAAAGTGGCCACAGGTAAAAAAAAAAAAAAAGACTGTAGACAAATGCAGATTATCCGGATTTCCAGCTCAAATAAAGATATTATAAGGGCCTGCAGGTTAAAAATAAGGGAAGTACAGTAGCAGTATTTAAATTCTTATGAAGGTTTTTTTTAACTTCAGCTGTATCATGGATTTTAATGATTTAAAGGTAATTTGCTTTTGCTGTAAATGTTCAGAAATGGATGGACTTGAGGGAAAGTATTAAACTATTATATACCGGTAGCAAATATTGTTACACTGACCTGTTTAAAGTTCGATTTGGTAATTTGGGGGCAGTCGAGTGTTTGAAAAAAAATCACCATTTTTTCCCAAAGATGGTCGGCTGACCATCGTTGGAAATTGATACAAAAATTCCACTTTTCTTGAAAATGAGAGCACACCAGGTGCCATGATTTCACAGGATGATTGAGACGTAACGTATATTTCATAATGATTTAGTAGTTTTGTTTTTAATGTTTGCAAATGTTGTATATTACAGATACCTTTAACTTGAGGTGTATCATGAATTTTAATGATTTACATGTAACTTCCAATTTTTGACATCAGCTTACTCCTTACACATTGTGTACATTAAAACTATTTTAAGCAATTATGATTATAAAGTGTCTGTTTAATGCTCTTACCGTACTTCAACTCTGAAATAAAAAAAGTGGGCCATATTTAATCATTTTAATAGCCAAGGCCAAAACAAAAGTTGTAAATAAATCTCAAAGAAGATGCAACACAGAAATTGTATACTGTACATACACATGTACATAGCCTCCTGTCATTTTCCATAAACTTTAGATGATTAAATATTTGTCTGTATGCATGAGCACCATTAAACATGATTGTACATGTTACAATCCAGGGCAGACATGTACATGTACATGTACTGGTATGTACACAAAATGTATGTAAATGCTGGCTCATACACATGTACATGTAGTCCACGCGAATGCAAATTTATGTGAAGCGAATATGTCATAAAACATTCGCTGCGAAGTTCCCCAGAGATGAAATGTGTTCAACGTTTGCAAATTCGCAGCGTGAAAGCATGCCGTACGTCATAAATGTGAGGCTATCTGGAAAAAGTGAGACAAAACTGAGCAGAAATTAAGATAATGCCTTACAATACTGTTTGATGCACTCCATTCGGACATTCCGTGGACAAGTTGTGGCTCTTTTAAACTTCGCATTTATTGGCATTTAAAAAAAAAAGTAATATACTGAGAAAAAAGCCTTTAAAGTTTGCGTTTTGTGGCCTTGAAAATGAAAGATGCCAATTTTGTTTCCCCTGAAGAACACTTTAATTCAACGATTTTTATACTATTTATATCAAAGGTTACAAATAGTAAAATTTGAAAATCGAAAAAAAAATCACCTCCATTCATTTTGTTTTCATTTTTGTCCACTAGGGCCTGTGCCAGGCCCGTCTCATTTTGGGGTACATATTGTACTACATGGATGTATTTGTGATGTCAGTTTACATATTTACCGGTATGTAATAATAATAATACCGAAGTCTTATATAGCGCACGTATCTACCAACAATTAGGTACTCAAGGCGCTGGAAATTATGTCTATTATTAGAGACAGGTAAATGAAGTATATGTACATGAGAAATATGAGAACCATTACATAGCACCTTTATAATGGTTTACAAGGTGCTGTGTACATGTACAAGTATTGACGTGCTTTTACTTGTAAAATTACAAATTATACACGGTAAGTGTTTGTTTGACCTCTTGTTATTTCAATCCTGTTCACAAGACCATAACAATAGACATGCAGAATTTGACCAGTCATGGGCTCGCCAAGTTGAACAATCAAAACACCTATTGGGTCAGTCACACAATTCACCATACATGTACTACTAGTATCTGACAGTGCAAATTCTTCCCAGTCTTTGCCTTCAGAGATCAGGCTACATGTATTTATGCTGACCTTTTCAACTCTAGTGTCCAGCTATTTTGATTGCAAGATCAACAAACGATAATATTTTTATAAGCTCTGTGAGGCATTTATGTACAGACTTGCACAAGTCATCAGATTTTCCTTCGTACTTTCTTTCCAAGTTTGACGAAGGTTGATGGCTTCTGCCATACGTGCATTAAAGGGAATGTACATCATTGGCTTTTGCTGAAATTTTCAGAAATTTGAGGGGTTAGTATAATATATCAAATATTGTTACACTGACAAGTTTGAAGTTTTGTGTTCGAAAATGCTGGAAAAACCAACAAAAACAAAAATGTTCAAGTAGTCTGGTTCCCTGACTCCACCAGAGATGAAATGAATCAATTTATAGATGCCGGAAAATTGTAAGGTAAGGAAACCAGTCTAGCTGGCCTGCACCCGTTCATGAACATGTAAATCAATAGCAAACAAAATTTGGACTGAAAAAAAAAAATGGTAAATTTGGAGCAGTAGTTGAAAAATAGTTAGGTTTTTCAAACGGTGGTCGGACGACCACTGTTGGAAATTTATACAAAATACCACTTTTCTTGAAAATGACTTCACACCAGGTGCCATAATTTTACAGGATGCTTTAGACTTTCATTTACCAACATCCTAGTAAGCTATTTCGTAAAAATTTGGTAGTTTTGTTTTCCAATGTTTGCAAATGTTGTATATTCCCTTTAATTGTACAAATGTACGTGCATGTTGCTGCGCGGTACAGAATTGTATACATTATGTGGCCATTGACATTATGTATGTGCGTATGCACACTGTAATGAATACATGTACCGGTATGTTCACAACATTTACGTGTACACACATAACCTCATTGTAAGAAATTGTACTTTCAGTTTGCCCGCAGGATCATGAGGTATGATTATTCAGGCAAACTGGTGTCAATGACCTCTACAATCTCCCCACAGTGGTCAATATGCATTTGTACAGTGAACAGTATGTATCCTACCGTCCATGAACAACTAAGTGCATGCATATGGTACAGTATGTACATTGTAAAACATGTGTGAGCATATCACAAGTGCGGTTTTGCTGAAATCTTAGGTGGGAAAAATAATTCTGATAGAAAAATATTTGACCCAAAGTTCAAATTGTTCAATATTTTTTTAAACATATTATTCTTTTAGAAATTTTCAAATGATTACCGGAAGGATTTCAAAATCCAACTGCCCCCACAAAAACCCCTTTCTGATAATTCTGATAGAAAAATATTTGACCCAAAGTTCAAATTGTTCAATATTTTGAAGATATTATTCTTTTAGAAATTTTCAAATGATTACTGGAAGGATTTCAAAATCCAACTGCCCCCACAAAAACCCCTTTCTGATAGAAAAATATTTGACCCAAAGTTCAAATTGTTCAATATTTTAAAGGTATTATTCTTTTAGAAATTTTCAAATGATTACTGGAAGGACTTCAAAATCCGACTGCCCCCACAAAAAAAACCTTTCTGCCCTTACACTAATCTCTCACATTGGTCACCCTGGTTAGTACTATCAATGCAAAAAACTGATTTCATTAAAAACTGCCTCAGTGTCAACAAGGTAGGTGTAGGTGTGAAAACGTAAAATTCTATTGCTCATAACTCCAATAAAAGTACCAGGTAATTTGCAATTTTTAAACACACATCCTGAATTACAATTATTAATACTTCCGGTGGTACAAACTCCATCCTTCAGGCCCCCCCCCCCCCCAAAAGTCTCCGGTTTCTGGTATGGAGCTTGCCCAAAAAGTGGTGCGGCGACGCAGCTTTTTTTTTTTTTTACCTGTTTTTTTTACTTCAAATGTCGGCTGATGACTGCAAATGGTGCCCGACTAAACTTACTGCCAATACGGTATTAAGGGAGACCAGGGCCAAATAAAGCTTATTCTCGATCATAACCCCATCTAAAAACACATTAAAATTGTGCAACAGCAGGATTCCAGTCAAACCAGTGAGTTTGGCGGTTTTGAGACATCATCTTTCATTGAAAAAAAAACTTTTTCATTTTGCCGACGCGCATGGCTACGGCGACGCGCGCGCATACCAGAAACCGGAGACTTTTTTTTTTTTGGCCTAACCTTCATATATTTTGTTGGAAATTCACATCTACCGGTAGAGATTTCCAAGTAAAATGGTTGAGTTCACATAACCCAATTATTTGTTAACGGGCAATATCCTCATTATTGTATTAATCTTCATATATAATTTGTCGGAAATTCACACCTTCACCTACAGTTTTCCAAGTAAATGGTTGAGTTCACAAAACCCCATGTTTTGTTAATGGACAATGTCCTGGGTTTTGTGTCAATCTCTGCTTTTGATACAGCCACTTGGGGTTTGCCAATGAAAAGGGAATTGTTTGATCTGTGTGTGAAAAACCACACAAAGTGTGAAAAGCAGGGAAGTCAATGAGTCACCCGTGGACCGGCCAAACAATAACTTGTGTGTACAATAAACTCAACCTACAAAGTGGGAACCAGTTCATGCATTCTCTTAGGCCAAAAAAAAAAGTCTCCAGTTTCTGGTATGGAACTTGCCCAAAAAGTGGTGCGGCGATGCGGCTTTTTTTACCTGATTTTTTTGCTTCAAATGTCGGCTGATGACTGCAAATGGTGCCCGACTAAACTTAGTGCAAATATATGGGCGTCCAGAGAGGCCACATAAAGCTTATTCTCGACCATAACCCAATCTAAAAACAGGTTCAAATTGTGCAGCAGCAGGATTCTAGTCAAACCAGTGAGTTTGGCGGTTTTGAGACATTATCTTTCATTGAAAAAAAAAAACTTTTTCATTTAGCCGACGCGCATGGCTACGGCGACGCACGCGCATACCAGAAACTTTTTTTTGGCCTTATAGTTGATCAGTACAGAAAATGAACATTTATTTTCTACAGCAATTTACATCAAATCATAGAGAATGGACATGTGTCACACTGAGAAAATTTGTAGCCCCTTTATGGTTCCAATGTTTATAAAACACAGAGGGCTTTGTAGGAAAAAAAATACTCTGTGTATATTTATTCTATCTGGGTATACTAGAAAACCAAATAAACTTGAAATCTGATAGGGGCCAATACAGTTTAATGTTCACTGTTCAGACAGCAGCGAGTGGTGATGTATGTACTCTGTTAACAGCCTGTGTATTTTTTTTCTTTTTGAATGTTTGTGTCCCATTGGCAAGCGGTATCAACAACCGGCAGTCTCACCAGGCACTTGCACTTCTTCCACACTTGTGGAAGAACTGAGAATGCTTCCATTGACACTGAACAAAAAAATGAAAAACTTTTTGCCACTTTGAAAATTAGTGCCATGCTCAAAATGAGTAGTGAGTTGCGTACATTGTACATGTATGTCACCACAATGCACAGAAAGTATTAAAAAAAAAAAACCATGATAATGTGATGGTGCTCGGAGTTCCTCCCTGCATTGGCCATACTCCATGTATGCAAGACCACGATTTTGTACCATGATGGAATACTGCAGCCGCATCTGGAGTGGTGCTCTGGCGTGTTACCTATCCCTCTTAGATAAAATTCAGCGACACATCTCCAAGCTGGTGGTTGAGGACCTGGCATCTTTCCCGGAACCTCTTCACGTCCAACGATCTGAAGCTTCTCTACATCCTTATTTTTTTTTAAGAAACCACCACGGGAGTGTTCCGGCGGCCTTTCTTGACCTGTTCCCCCTGACCGTTCTTTCTAGCAATCCATGCGCTTCGCTGCCTAATTCACACCCTTTTACTGCCATAGTTTCTAAGACTAGTTATGGAAAGTGCATGTATTCCTCTAGTTTCTTTTATGCTGCCTCTTTGCAACTCTTTACCAGAATCATGCTTCCTTTCTACATTCACTCTTTTAAGATACCTTCTTTCACTGTGACTTCTTTCTTTCTCTATTCTTTCTAGTTTGTAGCCCAAACCTTTGAGTGTCCTTCGCCTTAATGTTTAGGCGATACCCATTCAAAACAAACACAAACAAAAAACTCCTCCCCCCTGCATCTTGAACTTTGTTAAAAGCCGCCATTTTGAATTTCCCCCCCAACCCTGAATGAAAAACCCTGGTCAACCTGCCGAGGCTTTTTCCAGACTCACCCTCAGGATTTCTCTGCAGATGTACGCGATCCACTCTTCCTTCAGAGCGTTGCCCTTCGTGGCTTTGACCAGATCTGTCACGGATCCCGCTCCGCAAAACTCCATCACCAACTGCAAATGGGGATGTGAATTCACGCTACAATTGTAATTTGGTATTTAAACGTTCACTGAAACTTTCATGCAGGTGCCATTAAACAGTTGATACTTTACAAAAGCTGTCTCCTATCTCCTACATGTAAGGGTGTGCATCGAAACAAGATACCTGAGTACCAGACTGCAGACGTCAGGAACCAGTTCCAGATTATGGGATCGGGTACCCGTACCCAATTTTACAAATTTAACAACTTCTAAGACAAAAGCAAGATTTTGAATGTCATTTGTGGGGAATTTTCAAAATGAAGACCAGGCTGCATGGAAAACCAAAACAGATTTCACGTTTATGCGCATTTTAATGCATGACAGATGATGCTCGCAAAAGTTGCAGTTTACGGTACACTGCAAAGCTTCAGACGACTTCCGAGATTTGAACTTTGGGGTTGGGTTTCTTTTACGGGTACCCGGGTATCCGTGTTTTACTTCAATAGGGTAGCCGGTTCCCGGTTCCAGTACTTTTTTTTGCACACCTCTACTTTCTCCTGCACATGTTGCACATGTACATGCACACATACTGAAATTTGTATTCTTGTGGAGACATTTCTTTGTTCTCGTGTAGTAAAGTTTTCGAGTTTGAAAGTGAAGTTTCAAAATTTCCTTGGCTGAAATTCGGACTTAATATCCCTTTTCTAAAACTCTTCCATTTGCGACAGATCAACCCACCTTGGAAATTCCTAGTTTTTGAGTAAAATCCATTTATCTATTTCGTGAAAATCTTGTGGAGACGTATTCATCTATAGAAATTGTCCTGTGGAGACGTATACAATCTTTTGTTCCCTATTGTACACACGTCTCCAGAGGGCACGGTGTATCAGATCATACGTACATACATGTACCATGTGGGAAAGGCACAACAGAGACTACATGTACATACATAATCAAATAACAACATACATATTTTTAATGGGCAATTGTCTTGACTAATTCTTGTACATGTATGTATGCTGTCAGCATTATGGTGCAAATTCAGCTTGCATACGTACATGTACACATGTACATACCCATAATTGGTCGTCGGTCCCTCGTAGTCCTTTCTTGATGAACGCCCCGTAGTACGTGGCGATGTTTCTGTGATGTGAATACTGTGTGGTGAAAGAAAGGGGGAGCATTCGCATTATAAACCAATTAGGTTTAAATCCAAAAACAAACATTTTGTCTGCTGTATACATACATGGAGTGTCAGTAGAGAGATCAGGTGACTATTAGAATTCTGGCAATTATTATTGAGTATATTTTTACCCTTTAATTAATTATCACTTTGTTTATTTAACTTTGAAGGTTTATTTTTTAGTATAATAAATTTCTGATGTTTAAAATCTGAGGTTTAGTCTTAATCCTAACCCCTTGAGCACTTTTACTAGAAACTATCCTGAATCCGCCAAAAACCATCAATTTTGTCATGTAAAAGAATGTTGTCCTGAGTCCATCAGAATCCACCAGTGAGTCCATCAGAATCCACCAGTGTAGTACATACATGTACCGGTACCTCATACACACCAAACATATAGCCATGGAGTTAAACTGTTGAGATCCTGAATCCATCAAAGTCCCCCAACTGCTCAATATAGAGGTATCCTGAATCCATCAAAATCCTGCAGTACCACTAGGCTTACTGTCCTGAATCCATCAAAATCCCCCAACTTTTTCACAATGGAAGTACCCTCAATCCGCTGAAATCCTCCAGAACAGGGTGAGCATTTTGATGGATTCAGGTACCTTGTAATTGTACGCACTTTGAAATGTGCCATGTACACAAACTTGGAAAACTTGCCCAGGTTTTTTTTTAATAAAATAATTAATATTACATTAGTTATTTATTCAGTCTGAGATAATTACCCAAGCTAGAATGTTCCTGTAAGATTTAGAAGGATCCGGGAAAGTTATGTCAAATTCATTTTCTGCTCTCTTTCAAAGTGATCAAAAATCTAAAAGTTAATACATGTAAGTGACTTTCTCTCTTGCTATGTGTCAGCAGGTAACAATCATATTTTTTCTAATTTTTCCGAGAACCTTAAAGACGTTAAATACATTTGTACTTTTTTTTCTAATGCCAAACCATACACGATAACGAAAGGGAAAATGGAGTTTGGTTGTGACGCAAGTTTTCTTTGACTGACAGCAAACAGGCAAGAACTTCCTGCACAAACCAATGTCATTTCCTGTATTGATACCCGTTGCCATAGTTATTGGTAAATAGGAAACACTCAGAATAGGAAGCTATTCAGTTCAAAAAATTCAAACCAATGTAAATCTGATTTTTTTTTGCATGTGATAAGACGTTAGGCCTATGCAATGTGCACAGATTAAAATGGAAACACAGGGAATACATGCATGGGCAAATACGTTTGCCATTGGACACTCTACTGGTACACGAGTTGAGAAAACCTCCCAAATAACTATTATTTATCCACAATCAAACATTTTATTCATTTAAAAAAGTGCTGTGTCAAAATTGATAATTGTCAGCTACTGGTAGGATTCTTAGAGGATGAAAGTGTCTCACAATTTTTCATTTGTTTCATTGAAATTGCGCAATTAAACACATAATTATGAATTTTATTAGGATTTTGGTTGCCTATGCAATGTAAATAATGATTGATAACAATGAGAAAAAGGCCTTTAACCCAGATGCGAACATCCATTCTGTGCCAAGTCGTCCTTTCAGTCAAAATCAATCAAGTGACTGTTTTCGACAGTTAAGAGCTCCCAGCCTACCTGTACTTAAAGCAGGATTGACTGGCTGTGACTGTTAACATACCGGTACATGTAAATTCTATAGATGCTTGACTTAGGCGATTGATAAGTTATATGTAATCATGTTGTACTTTTGTTGGCCGAATAAATAATATTAATAATAATAATAATAATTAAAATAATGCTTGTGCCTCCCAAAATAATCAGACTACAGTACTAGTACTACAGTGCCCATTGCAACAGTGCCTGTTGTTACAGTAGAAAAAGGGTGGCCGTAAAAAAAATAAAATTACTAAGGATCAAGCACACTTGGGTTACAATAATACAAACAGCCTACTGTATATATGGCCTTTCCTGCCCACTTTACATCTACCGAAACTGACCTAAATGTACTACGGTAGCTCTCAACAACACCCACCCAGAATAAAAAAAGAAAGAAAGAAGCCAAGCTCAATCAGAGAGCCAAACCCATTAGTTATAATTAATAACCCTCCTTCTAATTCCAAAAGCCCTTTGAAGATTACGGGTATAAATCCTGCACTATTGACTCTGACCCTCCAACCACAATATTAATGTGTGTATACCCGTATATATCACTCATTGTTGTGACAGTGTGTGAGGTCAAGGGAGAAGTAATTGAAAATGTAACCAATGTAGTCAACACCATTAACATTTGTCCTTGTAAGTAAAATGCATCTTCAAAGGAATTTGAGCAAAATAACGTCTGATGGTTAACAAGTTTTGACTCGCGTTGATATAGTCGAGTTTAAATAGTTTTTTACTCAGGAAGGGGCAGGGTAATTTTGAAGAAAAACATGTTTTTTTCTGATAGTTCCTGATACCAGAATTGTTAAACCGTAGCAAGTACAACATTGATGCAATCAATAAGAAACCACTCACATTGTTCTAATTTAGAGATCAACTTTTCTGTACCAAAAGCCAAAAGCCATATTAATTAAACTTGTGAAAATGCAAAATTTAATTATTTACATGCAATTAATTTAATTTACAAATCAATAGCGTTTTGCTCACAAAATTATTAACTAGAATGTTTTCTTGAAATAAGGGGGGGGGGGGGGATCTAAACCGAGAAAAACAATATTCAGGACACTGACAAACTGCACTCTAATACTATTTGAATTGATGATAATATGCCTAAATGTTGCATAATATAATCATATTTATTACCTTTTTAAGAACATTGATCTCCAACTTGATTTCCTCTTCCTCTTCCTGCAAAAAAAGGAAAGAGGAAAAACAAAAAAAATTAAACAAATTGCACAAACGTAATGTTCAGAATTATTGATTGGCCGCTTGATCTCTACATTTTGTACCATACATGCTGCACAATTGACTTAAAAATATTATCCTTTATACAACACCTGAATAAATCCCCGTCATCTGATTGGAGGATCGTTGATCACATGTCATTGAATTATTCGTACCAACGCACGGCGCGCGCGTGGCGCGCAGCGCACAGTGCAATGGAAGTTCTATTGCACTGTGAATAGAACTTCCATTGCACGCTGTCACTGCTGCTGGTGGCGCTGTTTTAAATCGAGATAAATTGATAAATTGAATATGATTGTTCTCAACCTGTCGAATAGTTTGCATTAATATAAGTATGATGAACTTGTCGAACTTTTAAATAGTTTTCAACCTGAATAAATTGGCTATTAAAAGTCAACCAATCAGATGACAAGGATTTATACAGGTGTTATATAAAACAAATAATGAATGTTTCACATTCGTGCAATGGTAAGAATAATTTCATGAGGTGACAGATGAAATGTTCCATTCCACTCGGCTTCGCCTCGTGGAATGGAACATTTCATCTGTCACCTCATGAAATTATTCTTACCATTGCACTCACAAACATTCATTATTTGTATAATTGACAACTGGAGCACACATGAAACTGTTAAGAAAGTATTTGGTTCCATGTAGGAACTGTCTTCATAATAATTACAGGGTGTAACTGCAAACAGATAGTGATATCATGGAGCCCAATGGTAATATTAACCGGTAAACAAATTAAGGTCTGTTATTCTTGAGACATCTACAAGGGGAAATGGCATGATTAAATGTCAGTGTCGTACAGTGTAAGTGAAATACATACATGTACTGTTACATGAGTATAGGCAACGTGTGCACGCACACATTCTCAAATTTGTATCCTTGTGGAGACATTTCTTTGTTCTCGTGTAGTAAAGTTTTCGAGTTTGAAAGTGAAGTTTCAAAATGCTCTTATTTTAACCAGAATTAATTTCCTTGACTGAAATTCGGACTTAATATCCCTTTTCTAAAACTCTTCCATTTGCGACAGATCAACCCACAGGTCTTGGAAATTCCTAGTTTTTGAGTAAAATCCATATACATGTATCTATTTCGTGAAAACCTTGTGGAGACCTATTCATCTATAGAAATTGCCCTGTGGAGACCTATACAATCTTTTGTTCCCTATTGTGGAAATGTCTCCACAAGGATACAAATTTGCGCTCACACGTACAAGACATAATGTGTATTTTGTTCACACTTTTTTTTTGTACATGATCTTCATTTTCAGGTCACCGCTTATCTGCTCATAACATTCTTGTTGGCGTTCAACAACCCAAGAATTTCTCTTTAATATCGACTGCCTGGCAACTGCCCTTTGCCACGTGTGCGCAAAGCCTTCGATTAATTGACAATGTCTGTTGCGACACTCAATGTAGTAAATTACATTATTAACCACATCTCATCCCTCACCCCGACCTTGCAAGCAATGCAGGCAAATGCTCTGTCAAAATAGGAGCGTCGTCGCACTGCATGCTTCAGTACAAAGATGACGTGAAGACTGAAGAATTTTTTTTTTTTTACCCGAGACAGGCTTTTCTAGTCTATGGAATAGCCAATTCCACATTTTGAAGTATGATATTTGTGCAGATTTGGCAATGAATTATGAAAAACAAGACTGCGTCTGGACCTTTTTGAATACTTCACAGAACATGATTGCATGGAGAAAAATATTAAGTTCTTAAGAACAAGTTGTATTGATTTAATGAAACACTGAACAAACGTACTGCATTTGATCAAAACAAAAACTATCCAAAGAAATACCGGTACGTGGATAATTGATTCGCTTCACTTTGCTTGATCCTATCCCGGGCCATATGGGCAAAGGATTAGAGGAAACGACCCCAGATTGAACCCCGGAGAAAAGGGCAACCAACTTAATTTTGGATACCGGCCAAATTGCCTGCAATTTTCCAAATACGTGGGGCGGGCTTCAAATAGCTCAATCGTTTTTAAAATTAGACCCACTTCGGGCAGTAATGACTGGCACTGCATGGTACATTTTTGTGCATGTACATGTCCGGTACATAAAATACATATTCAAGGTACAATACACATGTACAGAATGTACATGTACATGGCAGAGTTGCTGAGTTAACGGTACAGCAACTTAAGTGTGTAAATTATAGTATTGCATGTAAATGATGTATGATGACAAATATTGTGCTGATGACGTGACCTAATGACGTGACCTAATGACGTCACGCTTTGTTTGTGCGCTTTCCTATGTGGTAGACGGTCCCTTCTTTGTCTGGCGTTCCGACTTCACTCCCATAAGAAAACCGCATACGATGTACGTAAACAAAGCCATTACGTCATTAGGTCTCAGGTCTATTACATAGGCCTACAAGTATACATTCAACATTTTAGCCAGCCCAACAAAAGGTTTTTAAGCTTTTGCTTTAAAATGAATGGTGCAAGTAAAACTTTGGAAAACTTAAATGAATGAAATCGTCTTCCATACATGTACAACCATACAACTTTAATACATGTACTATGTACTTACCGGTATTGTAAGTGACAGCGTTTGTAAGTACAATGTACATGTAAAATGTATGTTTTTAACACTGTTTTGTACAAGCTAGTGTGCAACATACCGGAACAAACACCCACTTTTTCATATTACATGCACATATAATTTCCCCTTTTATACTTGAACAAACAGCTGAAATATTTGTGTCTGGTGAATCTCCAAATGATGAGGTCACCATCTGTAACCACAGGGAGACTGCATATGGCACAGCATGTACGGGCAGACATGTCGACATGTACAGATCATGAACATCTCTTTGTACTGAAAGTGCTGACATACATTGTAGACTTGCTTTGTGAGAAATCAGTCTACAGCAATATAATGTGGTTCACTTCTGGAAAAATCAGCGACTAATTTAGCATTTAAGAGTCCCTTTTCACTATGATCAGACTAGTACTGGGTAACTGAAATGATTATCACCCAATAGGATCCGAGCATAATTAAAGCATTGTACATGTACATGTACATACCTTGTACTGTATACAATACTGCACATTATTTATCCACATACGATTATCCAGGTACCGGTACTGGTAACTGTTTTTCAACACTAAAATATTGTCAGTAAATCACTAAAAAAACCACTCCAGTATTTTGCATTTCATATTAAATATATAGTCCATCATTTGTAATTTGTGCATTTTGTTCGTTTGAAGCAATAAAAGAGTTCAAAATCTAATGAAGGATACTGAGCAACTAACCTGATGAACTTACAGCTCAGCTTCAGCTGTATATTCCGAGAAAACCAGCATTCTAGGATCTCAATTTCAAATCAAAAGTTGCCGAGTCACGTTTTGAATTGTTTTGAATTGCAGCTATACGCGATGTCGTGCACTGATCCGACGAATTATAGCAACCGCGCGCGCCTGTGCGTCGTGCCAATGCTTGCGCGCGCTGCGCTGAATAACAAAACGAACTACTAATTTAAATTTTCCTACGGTGCGTCTTAAGGCGCACCGTTGGAAAGGCGTTCTTTCGTTGATTACTTCAAAATGATAGCTTGCCAGAAAGATTAATTTCACAGGGAGTTTAGTCCACTTACTATCTTTCAACCAAGTATGTTTTTCAACAATAATACGCCATTAATTTTTCGGATGGCTGCAAATGATGGACTATAGCTTTAAACAAAAACCCTGTCCATGCAAGATCTATGAAAAATCACAGCTTGTTATACATGTAGCCATGCCTAGCTGTATGTACACATTTACAATGAACATACAAACATGATTCATGCGTCTCTTGCTCGCGCGTTATCGTGACCCAAATCTTGCAGACTAATCAACTGAAATTTCATCACTGCCAAAGCGCTCCGTTTACTTATTTCCCTGGGTACGCCAATCCTTCATGATCAGCCATACTGGCATAAGAATAACATTCTTTTTGGCCAAAAAAAAAAAAAAAAAGGAGAGAAAAATTGCAGTCTACTTTCCGACATGAATCATATGCCCTCTGGTGTTTATTCCATAAACAGCCCAGCTTAGATCAATCATGCAGTTTAGACTGATTGCCCTAAATTGCCTGATTTCTTTTCTTCTCTATTACTTTTTTTTGGCAAGGGGAATTGGGATCAGGGGAGGGGAAGTGGGATCAGGGGAGGGGGAGGAGGAGGAGTTGGGGGGGGGGGGAGTACATGTTACTTATACAGTACAAGGCAAAATAGACTCCTCTCATAGACAGCTATCTTCGTAGGAAAATTACAACTGCGTACACTCAATGCCATCAAGTATGTGAACGCGCAGTGTGCAAACTGTTTTTAACATGCACGCATGTTGCTCGAAACTTCTTCGAAATACGGCACAGACGATGCCGTCATGAAAAATTTGACTCCCAAAATGCAGATGAATGTGGCAATCTGTAGGCAGTGATGACATTTGAGAGAGATCTAGTATACACATGTACATATGTGGCAATGTGTGTAGAAATGCCCCGCAAATCAACGACGTAACAATGGAAGTACATATGTACCAGACGAATGTTGCAGAGCCACACAACAAATGTCTGCTCCATGCATGTAAAATTTATGCCATCCCGCACGCCAGCCAGTCGGAGCCGTCTTTAGAATTTGTGACATCACTTCCAGCAGAAATTCGGCAAAAGCTGTTGATTGGCCAATAGCTGCCATGTTTTTGTCATAAAACACTGAAGTTACCGAAGACACGATAGAAGGCGCCCGCTGAATGGTCAGAATCTGGAGGTCAAGATGCAGTATTTCTTTGCATATCAAAGACGCTAGCCATGCAAGCGTCTATTCCATAGACTACAACTGTAGCTCCTCACATCAAGCAGGGAAGCTGAAGGAAATGTAAGGTTCTGGTGTGATGATTTACCTTGTAATTCACAACATTTCTGTGTTTGCCTTAAAGAA